ATATCTAATATGCAATATCTAATATATATATATAATATATAATATATAATATAATATATATAATATATAATATATAATATATAATATATAATATATAATCTATAATATATAAGATATAATTATATGTACATATTATATATGATATATATATATATATATGTATTATAACATAATCATGCTCATTTCCTGAGCGGATTTACCATTTGCTGTTCCCATAAACTTCTCCACCGGTCCAGGTTTGATTTCATGACCATCTCGGTGGAGTCGCTGCAAAAGTTGGCAGCCCAGATCCCTGAAATCCTCATAGCTTGGGAACAAAAATCATGGTCAAACCATGGTTAAACCACAGTTTGGTGAGATTCACACTCGAATCAGCCGAATGAGCCAAGGATTGAGATTCCATTCGACTTCGAAATCTCACAGCCATGCTTGGTGAGAGACACAGACTCGAAACAGACTGTGGCGACAGTGGCAATAATAGTGCAAGAGATTCGTAGTTCAATTTATTTGAATGACAGGGATTTAGGGATGTCTCATGTTTCGAGCATGGCCAAATGCATCCAGAAAGATGATATTGAGGGCAACGCCCAATGTGCATGAAGTAGGGCGACATGCTGCGAGTCAGACTTGATCTACTTGATCTAGAGTAGGAGGTCCCATGTCCCATTTTTATCCATCTTCATGATACCCTCTGGTAAACTAACATAGCTATTGAAAATGGCCATTTATAGTTGATTTACCCATAAAATCTGGTGATTTTCCATCGTTTTTTGTATGTTTACTAGAGGGTAATGAACAGGTTGGCCTGAACATCACCGGTAGCAGTGGTAACGTGATCTGGCTGACCAAGGTGCACGGACTGGCGGGATGGTTTGATGCCTACTTCGAGGGCAGCAACCAGACAGTGGTCCTCTCCACAGCCCCATGGTGTTCTGGCACCCACTGGCAGCTCGGTTACCTCGGAGCAACCAGGGTGCTACGCATCGTTGCATTGGCTTCACCATGCTTCACCGAAGGTCTCAGAGAACTGAATCCAGGCATCTCCGATTTCACGGATTCTTTCACAAGGCCAATCTCTGCAAATCTCTCTTTTCCGCTGACTTTTGGACATCACCTTTGAGATCCTTTGAGTGTTGACTGATGAACCGTCATAATCCCCAAAAGGCGGCCTTTTGTATAATTTCATAATATTTCATATATTCTTATGGTGATGACCAATGCTTTTTGGGGAAATCTTCCGGGGTATTTGAAGAAAACCATGCCGTATTCGCCCAGGTACCAGATTCGCTTCCTCCTGGAAGTTCCCTTAGCCGTCAATGCTGGGCAACATGTGGAGGGGACGCTCAAGATGGAGGCTTTCCAGCGCTGTTGGTTGAGTTGGGGGGTCAAAAACTACCCTCTGGTAAACTAACATAACTATGGAAAATCACAATTTTCAATGGCAAATAAATGGTGATTTTCCATAGCTATGTTAAATTACCAGAGGGTACCCTTTTTTATACCCTGTATTAATATTGGGAGTTGGGGATTGTCAGACTATCATAATCCATATGGGACATCCGATTAATCCAGGGTTAATCCACCAAATCCAATTTGCTGATGGATGTTTTGGGAAGTGAACCGAACCTCCCAAAGCTGGGGCCATTTCAGAATAGATTTTCAGAATAGATGCGAGTAGCAAAATCGACCTGGTGGGTGACCCAGTGTATTTTTGAGATGGGTTCAAACCTGACACAATTGCTGTACTGTAGATTTTTCCAATCTTGCAAAGATCAAATGTATTTCCATATTCCAATTGCTGTACATATTTCCAGTATATTCTACATTTGCTAGCAGTGCAACCATCTTATTTTTTTCGAAGCCGTTGACTCCGTTGACCCGACCCGACGTGACCAAAATTCAGATCTGGAGATTCGCGTTGTGGCAGGCCAACAGCCTCCAATCCTACTACCTCAGCATCTTCATGAGAATCAAAGGGACCGGTTGAATCGAAGCCTGGCAGGGTGCTGTTTGATGGGATATATCTTTGTATATCTTTGTATGATATGATATGAAATTTGTAATTAGTAGTATATTACTTCCACATTGCACGTTATTAGAATCTACATACTAAATTTGAAAAATGGAACTTATCGCAAGGAGCTTCTACCGTGCAGGCCCCAGCAGTGAACTTTGTTTTGCAGCTGAGTGCGGAATGGGTGCAGTTAAACATCATGTGGCAGGACGGACATATCCTCTTCCGCTCCCTGCATTGATCTTAAGGACTGCTGCATTTGGACGATGCAGGGAAGTGAGTGGAACAAAAGGGGACACAGCAAGTTGTGAATCTGTATTTGCTCCATGTTCATTCACTATTAATTAATTGTAGTAATTATATATATTTATATTTACCTTTTTGCCTTTTCATATATTTAACGATTCTTAGTCTCCAGTCTGCTTTGGTCCAATGGCAGGACCCGGAATATCGCTTCTACACCTCTGCAAACTCCTACTGTCCGTGGGGGGTGCCGAGAGACATATACCTGGTGTTGATCACTGGGCCCCAGCGCATTTTCGGATGCGAGGGAGTTCAAAATTGAGCGGCACCTTCAGGAGCAATCCATCATCATCCATCATATCTAGTTGGAATATGTTGGAATGAATCTGAGGATATGGATCTCCCATGAAGATCCCATGATTTTTATGGATATTTCATAGATTTTCATAGACACCCCCACCAACCTGACTGACCTCAGGCCTGGTACGGCGCAGCCAGGGACCCAGCACCATGTCCCAGGGCTCGGATCATGACTTGGGTGTGATGGAAAACCAGGCTAACACCCCATGGGAAATGCCTCTAAAGTGGTCATTTTCATCAGGGAAAGTATGATGATCAACCAGTTTCAACCAGACATTTTTGGGTTTCAGGTGGCACGTCACGTGGTGAAACACTATTTTCAGACAAGCCCCATTTGTCGATATCAGCTGCTGCAGGGCTGCAGGGCAACAGCCTGCGTCGCCGCAACAATACCAACAGGCGCCTGTTTGGTGGGCAAAATTCCCTGGTCAATCTGGTCATGTTTGGAAGGAAAATGAGTTGCGATCTGGTGAACAAAGATGGCAATGGACACTTCCCTATGTTTGGATGCTAAAAACGTTTTCGTTTTTCCAACTGAAAATGGAAATGGTTCATTCTTTTCGTTGCGGGATACCTTATTTTTTCCCACAGGATTCAGATTTCCCGGTGGGCATCGATCGACCCACTTGGCATCCACTCTGCTGTTCCACATGTTCCAAGATGGCCAAGTCATAGAAGAATCATGCAGCTCATTTTTTGCAGGTGAAAGATTTGCGTTCCAAGAAAAAGATGGATTCAAAATGATTCAACCATCATAAACATTGGATTCAAACATCTTCATGGTCATTTACAGGTTGAACATCCTGCATATGTCACAGCATATGGAGCGCCGCGGCAAGGCGCACTTTGCGCAGACGCAGAACATTCTGCCGGGTCAGGCCGGGCGCAGCATTGCAGGGTCCATGGTTTTTCTGTGATGCCAATCATCACCAAATCAGCTACAGCAAAATGCCTCACATTCAAAAACCATCAAAAACCAGCCATTCTTTCAAATCCATTTCTCCATGGGACCCAAATGTGACGACCGTTGTGACCCGTTGTGGACTGGTCCATAGGCATTTGCCGCCCAGTGTGAGACTCGGGCTCCCTGGGTTGAAGCCTTGACCTTAGCGGATGAGGCACGATAATTTCCCATGATCTAAAATTCGATATCACGTGGGTCAAACATGGTAAAACAATAAATCATCCCCAATTTCACCATAAATAGATGGTTTATACCATCTTATTCCATCTATTTATGATGAAATTGGGGATGATTTATGATTGTTTTACCAACATTATGTAAACGATGGATGCAACCTGAATTTAACTGGACATGACCCCCTGCATTGAGGCCACTGCCGTGTGGGGGGCTGCACCCCAACGACCTGAGTAACTCGGCCAGATCCGGGATGGAATGGAAGTAGATGGAAGATATCTTATCTAACATGTCTTAAATTGTGGTAAACTCAGTGGTAAACCGGTAAACCCATGATTTAAGGATGGTTTTTACATGTTTTCTTTTATTTTTTTTGTGAATCATTTAGATATTGGGGATGGTTTATAAGAGTGATATTTTATGATATTATATTTTCATAATATATATATACACACTGTATATATATATATATATGGGTTTATCACCTTAGACTTGAATAGCTGGTGAAACCATCCACTTTATTTGATACATCCCTTTATGGTATTTGGGCAGCCGGTGGCGTGACACCTTTTTCCCCCAAGGACAGCGCCGATGACCAACGGTTTTGGCCCTCGCACTTGAGGGCATCCAGGGTTAGCGATTCGGAGGAAAAAGGTTGCTGCAGGCTGCAGGTGGTAGATTTTTGGGATTGCCTTTGGAATCTGGATTTCCATCTCTATTGAGGATATGAATCTGGATGAATATATAATGATTTTCAGGGGGTTGAAACATGTTGAAACCACAAACCAGATAGTCTTGGATTGGATTGGCACTTCCAATCCAAGGACATCCAAGATAAGGAACTTGAGACGCGTGAGACCGGGGTAGATTTTTCGCTGCGTATCCTGCATGGGCAAGTCCTTTGGATTCCTGGGTCAGTTTCCATGACTGGCTGAGATTGGCCGATTTTTTGCCATTGCTCCCGGCTCAATTCTGGCGCAACTCTCTTGCACCAGCTGTGGGGACCCCAGTCAACACTTTCGTGTGTTGAATCCAATTCTGGATAAATTGAAGATCTTCAATTTGCTCATTCCAGTCTCTTCTTGAATTCTTTCACATAACTTCCATTCCCTTAAAAAAAGCATGAAAACAATTGAAAATTATTGAAACCATATCTTCAGATCCTTGGAACATCTTGGAACCATGGCCATGCCAAGCCATGTGCCCTTCATGGACTTCATGGCCATGAGTCTCATCCGAGGCAACAGCAAATCTGCTTTCTCATACTCTCACGAGCGATATCCGGACCCTCGTGCGAGGAGCATTTGATGGGCCTGAAAGCACCATATGATGGACACATATTGGAAACCATAAGGCACATATATGATATGGTGTAGTTTAAGTGGTGCTCATACTTACTTTGGCCCCCCCCAAAATATTAAATCTTGATCTTCGTTGTATTGATTTGTTCCAGGTTCCAACCGCTGACTGATGCGTCAGCAGTAGTTACTTTTATATATATATATAATATAATATATTTATAATATATATAATATAATATAGTATAATATATATATATATGAAGGGCACAAAGAACCAACATTCAACGGTACTAATCATGAACTGAGCTTCAAGTTTCGTCTGACCAGATCACGGAGATTCGCAGGAGCGAAATCAGGTTAAAGTCTTCCTCGTAAAGTAAGGCGCGGAGTTCCAGGAGGAACCCTGAATGGGCGAAGCACAGGAACAGCATGATGTTTACAACAAACTTCGCAACTACAGGATTCTATGATTTTTATATTTTTATTATGTACAAGCAACAGTATGGCGGTTTTGTGAGCTAAACATCATCAACTTGAGTTGGGTATGCTGGACCCCAAGCTTTTTGAAAACCTTTTTTGCCACGTTTCACCAACACTTCCTTGGGGTGTGGATTGGAAACCAAGTCGTTCACCATGTTCTTTTTGGGTCATATCGGTCATATTCCCACATAGAAAAATAAGCAAAACATATCAACACACAGTATACCCTCTGGTAAAGTAACATAGCTATGGAAAATCACAATTTTCAATGGGAAAAACCACTATTTCTATGGCCATTTTCAATAGCTATGTTAGTCATTACCAGAGGGTATACATTGCAGATCCATTGCAGACATGCTTAAAGAGGTCCAACATGGTCACGACATGTCGACCTATTTTACCTGCAGATGAAGCTCTTTACGTCCAGCACATCTGAGCAACAGCTCGAGTCCCTCAGGTCCGGATTTTGGGGCCTGCTGATTGTGGGAAAACAAGCGCTGTTTCCGATGTTTCCTACCAAGATGTGTTTGTGATCTACAATTGAATCAAGAATATATGAAAAATGAGAAGCAAGAAAACAAATGCACTGGCTTCAAGAGCTTAGCATCTTCTCAAGTCATGAGTGACACTGGTACCACATTAAGCAGCATATGCAGCATATGTGTATCCTTATTGTACCATGGTACCTCAAATCCTGATCAGGTCGCAGAAATGCGAGGTCAAGTGCGAGGCGGAGCATGTCGTACCCAAGCCTGGTTGTGCTCGGGTGGACCCTTGCCGTGTTGAAGGCCCACAGGACACGCAGAAGATCTCCCAAAAGATCATTGAGGGCAAGACTCCTACTCCTACTGAGGTCATCAACTACTTCAACGCTGAGTTGAAGAAGCGCATTTGCTTCTTGGATGGTGGCATGGGTACACGAATCCAGGCTGAGAGGTTGGAGGAACCAGATTACCGCGGCGACAGGTTCAAGGATTTCAATGAGAAGGATGCCAACGGTGTTCCAGTGTCCTTGAAGGGCAACAATGATTTGTTGATTTTCACCAAGCCTGACATGGTGAAGGACATCCACAAGGAGTACTTCGCAGCAGGCTCTGACATTTGCGAGACCAACACTTTCAATGGCACCACTGTGTCTCAGGGTGAGTACAAGATGCAGGCCATCGTCCATGAGATGAACAAGGTTGGAGCAGAGCTCGCCAAGAAGGCAGCAGCAGAGGTGACCAAGGAGGAGCCTCACAAGCCCCGCTTCGTGGCAGGAGCTGTTGGTCCTACAAGCCGCACTTTGTCTGTTTCCCCCAGTGTCGAGGATCCCTCCTTCCGCAACGTCACGTGGGATGAGCTGGTGGCTGCATACAAGGAGCAGGTCAGTGGCCTTGTGGACGGTGGTGTCGACATGTTGATGATCGAGACCGTCTTCGACACCCAGAACTGCAAGGCCGCCATTTTTGCCGTGGATGAATATTTCAGGGAGACCAAGAAGGAGAAGCTCCCAGTGATGCTCAGTGCCACCATTGTGGACAACAGCGGCCGCACCCTGTCGGGTCAGACCATTGAGGCCTTCTACGTGAGTGTGAAGCATTGCAACCCGTTCACCGTTGGCATCAATTGCGCCCTGGGTGCTGCGCAGATGAAGGGCTTCTACAAGAAGCTTGCTGACATGAACACCGGCTGGTGCCATGTGTACCCCAATGCTGGCCTGCCAAATGCCATGGGTGGCTATGATGAGGATCCGGAGATTTTCTCCACCAACATCTTGGACTATGCCAAGGATGGCTTGCTCAACTTTGTGGGTGGATGCTGCGGCACTTTCCCATCCCACATCGCAGCTGTGTGCAAGAAGGTCGAGAAGTGCCCGGTCCGCAAGCTGCCTGAATTGCCCAAGTATCCCACCATGATGCTCTCTGGTCTCGAGCCATGCAGTGTCACTGACGAGACAGGCTTCCAATGGGTCGGAGAACGCTGCAACCTCATGGGCTCCGCCAAGTTCAAGAAGTTGGTAGATGCTTACAAGTGGGATGAGGCAATGGAGGTTTGCATTGCTCAGTGCGAGAAGAAGGCTGACATTTTGGACTTCAACTTCGATTCCGACCTCATCGACGGCCAGACTGCAATGAGCAAGTTCATGAAGCTTTGTGTCACAGAGCCCACTGTGGCCAAGTTGCCTTTCATGATTGACTCGTCAAAGTGGCATGTCGTGGAGGAAGGCTTGAAGTGCGTGCAGGGCAAATGCATCGTCAACTCCATCTCGCTCAAGCCAGGTGAGGAGGAGTTCATCAAGCATGCCGACTTGTGCATGCGTTACGGTGCGGCCGTCGTTGTCATGGCGTTCGACGAGAAGGGCCAGGCTGCAACTTATGAAGACAAGGTCAGGATCTGCCAGCGCAGCTACAGGGTCCTCAGGGAGAACTTGGATTTCCCTCCAGAGGACATCATCTTCGACTGCAACGTGCTGACCATTGCCACTGGCTTGCCAGAGCACAACTCCTATGCTCTTGACTTCATCAATGCAGTTGCAGAAATCAAGCGCACTTGCCCTTGCGTGTCCTTCTCGGGCGGCTTGAGCAACTTGTCCTTCTCTTTCCGTGGTCTCAACTCCCTGCGAGATGCAATGCACACGGTGTTCCTGCATCACGCGGTCCCCAAAGGTGTCTTAGCCATGCATTTGGTTATCTTGATTCATTTTGATTCATGTTGATTCATTTTAATTTATGTTGATTCATTCCGTACGTTGGACTGATTTTGTAGGCTGCTATTGCGCGCCAAGTTGAGTTTCAAAGTTGAATTGCCACCAATTGCACAGACAGGGAGTCATGGATGCTTCAGTCTTAAAAACACCCCAACATACATTTCAACATTTCCATTATTTTCCTAATCATGAAAAGATCCAGCAACTGAGTCCCACTCAGAAAGCAAGTTCTGTTAGTTCTTTTGAGAACAGGAAACTGCGCATGCCCAGGTTTGAACATGTCCATCGTCAATCCTGGTGGACTGCCTCGCTATGAGGACATTGAGGCCAAAACCCGCAAGCTGGCGGAGGAAGTGATTCTGAACAAGTCCGATGATGGCACTTTGCCTGTCAAAGATGGTCAAAGTCAAAGGGTTTCATGTTCTGTTTTCTTATATTTACCATAGTTATATATAATGTTATATATATATAGTCTATGTCTATTATATGTATATATTATGAATATATATTACATTCATACGCATAGTCAGTCATGATAATGGCAATGGTAATCGAAGGAAGTTTGGAAGTCAAATTGACATGTCGAAAAAGTGCAAGCGGCTGTGGCGCGAAGCACATGTGGAAGTCAAAATGATCTAAAATGTCAAAACACCTCACGCCCAGAGCACTTTTGGAAGTTGAGCTGTTCAAAAAGTGCACGCCGTTTTGGCGCGAAACACATTTGCAAGCCAACAGTGTTAAAAACTGACGGTCTCGGACCACTTTTGGACGTTCAGATGTCGAAAAAGTGCACGGCGTTGTGGCGTGAAGCACATTTCGAAGTCAAAATGGTAGAAGCACACCACATTCGGACCACTTTTGGACATTCAAGTGTCGTTTTGCGTGGCAGGCGCAATGGATTCTGCACCTTGCCAAACGCAAGCAAAATGTGAAGCTTTTATGGCAGTTGCGAAAGACGAATGGGCTTTAGAAGAGGATCTGCTACATTTTGCGCAGGCGCGGTACAAGAGACAGCTTCATCAGAGATGTTTGGAGGTCAGGGCGCTGATTTCCCAAGAGGGGTTGCATTTTGGAGCATCAGATCTTCAGGTTTGCTAAGATGATTTTGCGTGGCAGGGCTTCACTTTTTCCTGGCAGGCGCAGTACTTTGGACAGATGGAGTGGAAAAATCGCAAAACGCATTGGTATGAGGCCGTCAGTTCCGCACTCACCTTTTAATTGTTTGAAGGTAGTCTCGCAGAATTGCTTCGTTTTTGACGTCGTCAAGTTCAAAAGTTGACGGTTCGCAGAATTTCTTCGTTTTGGAGCTGTCAACTTCCTGTTTTTGAGGGAGTCTTGCGGAATTGCTTCGTTTTCCACATTTGAAGGGATCCTGGCAGAATTCCGTTCTTTCAGAAATAGATAGATGGATGGATAGATAGATAGATAGAGAGATAGAGAGATAGAGAGATAAAGAGATAAAGAGGTAGGTAGATAGATAAACAGGCAAACAGAGGGACATATAGACAGATAGATAGGTAGTCAGATAGCCAGGTAGACAGATAGCCAGATAGATAGATACATACATAGATTGTCAGATAGTCAGAATGACAGATAGACAGTTAGATACATACATAGAAAGATAGATAGACAAATTTACAGATACATGGATAGTCCAGTCAGATAGCCAGATGGACAGATTGACAGACAGACACATAGACAGACAGACAGAAAGACAGAAAGACAGATAGACAGACAGATAGACAGGCAGATAGATTGATAGACCGATCCATAGATAGATAGAGAGATAGACAGACACACAGATAGACAGATACACAGATAGACAGATAGATAGACAGATAGACAAAAACATAGACAAATAGACACATGCTGTAGACACATGCTGCAGACAGATAAACAGGCAGACTGATAGACAGGTAGACAGGCAGCGAGACAGCTAGACAGACAGATAGACAGATAGAAAGATAGAACGATAGAAAGACAGATATAAGGATAGAAAAATAGAAGGATAGAAACATAGTCAGAAAAGATAAAATGATTGAAACATAGACAGATAGAAAGATAGAAAAATAAAAACAAAAATAGATAGATAGATTAAAGAGACCCATAGATAGATACATAGATAGATGCATAGATACACAGATACATCAATACATAGATGGATGGATAGACAGATAGATAGACAGATAGAGAGGCGCAGAGAGAATGAAACAGAGAGAAAATTAGATAGAAAAAAAACATAGAGAACGATAGAGAGAGAAAGAGACAGAAAGAGAAAGAGAGAGAGACTCAGAGCGTCAACCACCTTTCAGTCGATCAGTTCGCTCTGCCAGCCAAGCATCACAACAACCAAACTCTCCTATACAGAGGTTTCCTAGCTCTGAAATTTCCGCGACGGCCTTATGCAGTACCACTGCTTAATATGGTAGTGACAATTAAATTGTAGTGCATACAAATATCATATATATATATAAATAGATGTTGATGACATATGAACTCACAATAAATTTCAAACGATTTGTATTCTGAAATGTTGTTGATCTGGCATGATTCATGAAAATGGTGTGTGACAGCACATGATTATATTTTGAAGATACACAAAGGTACATAGCAATATAACAGGTTTTCTTTTCAGGGTAACCACGTTGATATATTTTCAGGCAACCACGTGGAACGATTCTTGGAGTTCGCGGAGAAGGTGAAGAATCCTCCTGCCCCAGCCCCTGCAGGACCAACTCTGAAGATTGAGAAGTCAACTGCAGAGCAGCAGGCTACGTTCTTGAGGTCTTTGAAGGAGACTGTCACATGCGAGGCTGAACACATCAAACCCAAGCCTGGTTGTGCTCGGGTGGACCCTTGCCGTGTTGAAGGCCCACAGGACACGCAGAAGATCTCCCAAAAGATCATTGAGGGCAAGACTCCTACTCCTACTGAGGTCATCAACTACTTCAACGCTGAGTTGAAGAAGCGCATTTGCTTCTTGGATGGTGGCATGGGTACACGAATCCAGGCTGAGAGGTTGGAGGAACCAGATTACCGCGGCGACAGGTTCAAGGATTTCAATGAGAAGGATGCCAACGGTGTTCCAGTGTCCTTGAAGGGCAACAATGATTTGTTGATTTTCACCAAGCCTGACATGGTGAAGGACATCCACAAGGAGTACTTCGCAGCAGGCTCTGACATTTGCGAGACCAACACTTTCAATGGCACCTCTGTGTCTCAGGGTGAGTACAAGATGCAGGCCATCGTCCATGAGATGAACAAGGTTGGAGCAGAGCTCGCCAAGAAGGCAGCAGCAGAGGTGACCAAGGAGGAGCCTCACAAGCCCCGCTTCGTGGCAGGAGCTGTTGGTCCTACAAGCCGCACTTTGTCTGTTTCCCCCAGCGTTGAGGATCCCTCCTTCCGCAACGTCACGTGGGATGAGCTGGTGGCTGCATACAAGGAGCAGGTCAGTGGCCTTGTGGACGGTGGTGTCGACATGTTGATGATCGAGACCGTCTTCGACACCCAGAACTGCAAGGCCGCCATTTTTGCCGTGGATGAATATTTCAGGGAGACCAAGAAGGAGAAGCTCCCAGTGATGCTCAGTGCCACCATTGTGGACAACAGCGGCCGCACCCTGTCGGGTCAGACCATTGAGGCCTTCTACGTGAGTGTGAAGCATTGCAACCCGTTCACCGTTGGCATCAATTGCGCCCTGGGTGCTGCGCAGATGAAGGGCTTCTACAAGAAGCTTGCCGACATGAACACCGGCTGGTGCCATGTGTACCCCAATGCTGGCCTGCCAAATGCCATGGGTGGCTATGATGAGGATCCGGAGATTTTCTCCACCAACATCTTGGACTATGCCAAGGATGGCTTGCTCAACTTTGTGGGTGGATGCTGCGGCACTTTCCCATCCCACATCGCAGCTGTGTGCAAGAAGGTCGAGAAGTGCCCGGTCCGCAAGCTGCCTGAATTGCCCAAGTACCCCACCATGATGCTCTCTGGTCTCGAGCCATGCAGTGTGAACAAAGAGACAGGCTTCCAATGGGTTGGAGAACGCTGCAACCTCATGGGCTCCGCCAAGTTCAAGAAGTTGGTAGATGCTTACAAGTGGGATGAGGCAATGGAGGTTTGCATTGCTCAGTGCGAGAAGAAGGCCGACATTTTGGACTTCAACTTCGATTCCGACCTCATCGATGGTCAGTCTGCAATGAGCAAGTTCATGAAGCTTTGCGTCACTGAGCCCACTGTGGCCAAGTTGCCTTTCATGATTGACTCGTCAAAGTGGCATGTCGTGGAGGAAGGCTTGAAGTGCGTGCAGGGCAAATGCATCGTCAACTCCATCTCGCTCAAGCCAGGTGAGGAGGAGTTCATCAAGCATGCCGACTTGTGCATGCGTTACGGTGCGGCCGTCGTTGTCATGGCGTTCGACGAGAAGGGCCAGGCTGCAACTTTTGAAGACAAGGTCAGGATCTGCCAGCGCAGCTACAGGGTCCTCAGGGAGAAGTTGGATTTCCCTCCAGAGGACATCATCTTCGACTGCAACGTGCTGACCATTGCCACTGGCTTGCCAGAGCACAACTCCTATGCTCTTGACTTCATCAATGCAGTTGAAGAAATCAAGCGCACTTGCCCTTGCGTTTCCTTCTCGGGCGGCTTGAGCAACTTGTCCTTCTCTTTCCGTGGTCTCAACTCCCTGCGAGATGCCATGCACAGCATCTTCCTGTACCATGCTGTTCCCAAGGGCCTCAACATGTCCATCGTCAACCCTGGTGCCTTGCCTCGCTATGAGGACATCGATGCCAACACTCGCAAACTGGCTGAGGAGGTGATTCTGAACAAGTCCGATGATGGCAACTTGCCTATTTCAAGGAGATTCAAAACACTTGTTCTCAGAAGTTTTGCCTTGAGCACTTGAGTGTTTGACACTATTTATTGGAAATGATACACTCACTTGATCTCATTTGTATCTTGAAGTCTTGTTGATATTAATTGCATGTTGCATCCAATTTTGGTGTATACAAACTTTGGGGTTATACTGTACTCATTTCCCAGGCAACCACGTGGAGCGATTCTTGGAGTTCGCGGAGAAGGTGAAGAATCCTCCTGCCCCAGCCCCTGCAGGACCAACTCTGAAGATTGAGAAGTCAACCGCAGAGCAGCAGGCTACGTTCTTGAGGTCTTTGAAGGAGACTGTCACATGCGAGGCTGAACACATCAAACCCAAGCCTGGTTGTGCTCGGGTGGACCCTTGCCGTGTTGAAGGCCCACAGGACACGCAGAAGATCTCCCAAAAGATCATTGAGGGCAAGACTCCTACTCCTACTGAGGTCATCAACTACTTCAACGCTGAGTTGAAGAAGCGCATTTGCTTCTTGGATGGTGGCATGGGTACACGAATCCAGGCTGAGAGGTTGGAGGAACCAGATTACCGCGGCGACAGGTTCAAGGATTTCAATGAGAAGGATGCCAACGGTGTTCCAGTGTCCTTGAAGGGCAACAATGATTTGTTGATTTTCACCAAGCCTGACATGGTGAAGGACATCCACAAGGAGTACTTCGCAGCAGGCTCTGACATTTGCGAGACCAACACTTTCAATGGCACCTCTGTGTCTCAGGGTGAGTACAAGATGCAGGCCATCGTCCATGAGATGAACAAGGTTGGAGCAGAGCTCGCCAAGAAGGCAGCAGCAGAGGTGACCAAGGAGGAGCCTCACAAGCCCCGCTTCGTGGCAGGAGCTGTTGGTCCTACAAGCCGCACTTTGTCTGTTTCCCCCAGCGTTGAGGATCCCTCCTTCCGCAACGTCACGTGGGATGAGCTGGTGGCTGCATACAAGGAGCAGGTCAGTGGCCTTGTGGACGGTGGTGTCGACATGTTGATGATCGAGACCGTCTTCGACACCCAGAACTGCAAGGCCGCCATTTTTGCCGTGGATGAATATTTCAGGGAGACCAAGAAGGAGAAGCTCCCAGTGATGCTCAGTGCCACCATTGTGGACAACAGCGGCCGCACCCTGTCGGGTCAGACCATTGAGGCCTTCTACGTGAGTGTGAAGCATTGCAACCCGTTCACCGTTGGCATCAATTGCGCCCTGGGTGCTGCGCAGATGAAGGGCTTCTACAAGAAGCTTGCCGACATGAACACCGGCTGGTGCCATGTGTACCCCAATGCTGGCCTGCCAAATGCCATGGGTGGCTATGATGAGGATCCGGAGATTTTCTCCACCAACATCTTGGACTACGCCAAGGATGGCCTGCTCAACTTTGTGGGTGGATGCTGCGGCACTTTCCCATCCCACATCGCAGCTGTGTGCAAGAAGGTCGAGAAGTGCCCGGTCCGCAAGCTGCCTGAATTGCCCAAGTACCCCACCATGATGCTCTCTGGTCTCGAGCCATGCAGTGTGAACAAAGAGACAGGCTTCCAATGGGTTGGAGAACGCTGCAACCTCATGGGCTCCGCCAAGTTCAAGAAGTTGGTAGATGCTTACAAGTGGGATGAGGCAATGGAGGTTTGCATTGCTCAGTGCGAGAAGAAGGCCGACATTTTGGACTTCAACTTCGATTCCGACCTCATCGATGGTCAGTCTGCAATGAGCAAGTTCATGAAGCTTTGCGTCACTGAGCCCACTCTGGCCAAGTTGCCTTTCATGATTGACTCGTCAAAGTGGCATGTCGTGGAGGAAGGCTTGAAGTGCGTGCAGGGCAAATGCATCGTCAACTCCATCTCGCTCAAGCCAGGTGAGGAGGAGTTCATCAAGCATGCCGACTTGTGCATGCGTTACGGTGCGGCCGTCGTTGTCATGGCGTTCGACGAGAAGGGCCAGGCTGCAACTTTTGAAGACAAGGTCAGGATCTGCCAGCGCAGCTACAGGGTCCTCAGGGAGAACTTGGATTTCCCTCCAGAGGACATCATCTTCGACTGCAACGTGCTGACCATTGCCACTGGCTTGCCAGAGCACAACTCCTATGCTCTTGACTTCATCAATGCAGTTGAAGAAATCAAGCGCACTTGCCCTTGCGTTTCCTTCTCGGGCGGCTTGAGCAACTTGTCCTTCTCTTTCCGTGGTCTCAACTCCCTGCGAGATGCCATGCACAGCATCTTCCTGTACCATGCTGTTCCCAAGGGCCTCAACATGTCCATCGTCAACCCTGGAGGCTTGTGGATTTTTCAGTCATTGCTGATCACTGGATCACTCTTATTCTGGATGTATTCCAAGAGAATTCAAAAGTTGCATCTACCAATTGTCATCCAATGTCACCAGGACAAATTTCCTGGCGCTTTTTTTTTTCAAGACCTCATCTGAATCCCTCCTGAAACGAAAGCTTGTTATCGTCTTTTCTTGGAATTCTTGAACTTATATGGATTTTAGCTGGAATTTGCATTAGAATACATTAGAATACATTAGAATACATTAGAATCATTCTTATTGGATACCATCAATGGAACTTATCAAGTCAATTGTCTACCACCAGGATCCAGTAGATCCGAATCCCTGGTTCCAGGATTGCCCCGCTACAACGACATCGATGCCCACACCCGCAAGCTGGCTGAGGAGGTGGCCCCACTGGAATGTGGCGTCCTGTGGAGTCCTCCATTTCAAGGGTTTATCGCTCTGTTTATTTTCGCTTTGAAAGATGGGCTTGATGGGCTTGATGGGCTTGATGGACTTGCTGAGACTTTCGCTGCCAGGTGATCCTCAACAAATCCGCAGATGGCAAGCATGTGGGGGTGCCGAACGGACCTGGACAAAGAGGTAGCAGGACCTGGTTTGACGGGCCATCGGGTCATCCCCATGTGGTTTGGGATGCAACCCCTTCTAGATGGGTGATCAGACATATCATGTCATATCTCAAAGTTATGTGGCTTCAATGACACCTGTTTTGAAGTCTACCTGTCAGCCTGCAGAAGTGTTCTCGGGTGCTACTCCCATAGTTGCGTTTGCCACGAAAGTTACTACGACGTACGACCATTCCAAAAGCAAAAGGGCTCAAAAGGAAGTGTTTCATCATGGTCTTAGTCGTTCCGAATGTCTTGAGATTTATACGGTGTATCCCAACATATCCCAGTTGCCAGCATTCTAGCAGCCTCCTTAGTAACAGGCATGATTGATGCATTCTATCGGCTTATAGCCTCCTTAGACTTTCCTTGATTGGTTTGTCTTTTCCTTGGATTTTATTTTTCTTTCTTTCTCCCTTGGAAACCAAACAAAACCAAAGGAAACCAAAGGAAAACCGTAGAATCCACCCAGCCCCAAACCAAAGAAAATCAAAGGAAACCGAAGGAAATCAAAGGAAACCAAAGGAAAACCGTAGAATCCACCCAGCCCCAAACCAAAGAAAACCAAAGGAAACCGAAGGAAACCAAATGAAATCAACGAAAAACCACAGAATCCACCCAGCCCCAAACCAAAGAAAATCAAAGGAAACCGAAGGAAATCAAAGGAAACCAAAGGAAAACCGTAGAATCCACCCAGCCCCAAACCAAAGAAAACCAAAGGAAACCGAAGGAAACCAAATGAAATCAACGAAAAACCACAGAATCCACCCAGCCCCAAACCAAAGAAAATCAAAGGAAACCGAAGGAAATCAAAGGAAACCAAAGGAAAACCGTAGAATCCACCCAGCCCCAAACCAAAGAAAACCAACGGAAACCGAAGGAAACCAAATGAAATCAACGAAAAACCACAGAATCCACCCGGCCCCAAACCAAAGAAAATCAAAGGAAACCGAAGGAAATCAAAGGAAACCAAAGGAAAACCGTAGAATCCACCCAGCCCCAAACCAAAGAAAACCAAAGGAAACCGAAGGAAACCAAATGAAATCAACGAAAAACCACAGAATCCACCCAGCCCCAAATCAAAGAAAATCAAAGGAAACCGAAGGAAATCAAAGGATACCCTGCTATGAAGAATGGATGTTCCAGTCTAAAGAGTTCCTATGAAGCATGTTGTCAAGGTCGAGCGCTTTTTGGAGTACGCAGAGGTTCGTCGGGCCATTTTCCCACGAGCATATTCTGTCATGGACATACACATATCACATATTTTGATATTTTGTAATACTGGCATTCTATGGAAGGTATATGAGGTACAGCCAAAGTTTACCGCAATGGAAAGTAGTATTCGAATGTATTCGATATTTTTATTTTTTGAAAATTGAGCTGGGGCTTGGAAAACGATAACACAGTCTTCAAAAAAAATGATAATATTTGCTATATTCCGAATTCCCAAAACCTGAAAAACGATAAGACACTCAGACACTCTTCAAAAATTGATGACTTGGAGCTGTATACTAAATATTGACCGTGGCCCATATTAGCGTCGACAAAATCGATGGGAAAGGTGTGTTTCAAAATATGATTTCATGGCTGAACGACAGCTAATTTGGACGTGTCCAGTGACTGCTAGTGCTCATAGTTACAGACTGTTGCAGGTTTCAATCCAGTTGTGGAGGATTTGCCAGGCTCTAATCTGGAAACTGTATGAAATTGACAATCCCATTATGTTTCAACAAATCATCCAATGCAATTATGTCCGCAATAATAGTTTCAATTTTTTACTGTAACAGTTGACATATTATATAAGCACCTGCTTACAACATGGCGCTTTCCTAAACCTAAGGGATCCCCAGGTCACCATATGCCAGGCAGTTCGCAAGCCTGCAGCCCCTGCCGGCGGCGCTGCTGGTGGTGGTGAGAAGGCCAAGGCAGGTGGCAGAGTGGCTGGGGGGCCATGATGATTATCTTCAATTATTGTTATATGATCTACTGTATGACGTTAGTTGATAATGAAAGTGTTCAATATTTAAAGGACATTGTCTAGTTGACAATTGTTCATATTATGTGAATTGTCTAGTTGACATGATGTATGATTCCTGTTTTTTTTTTTTTCGAGCAAAGTCGTGGAGATATTCAACGAATTCTGGGATTTTCTGAACCACCAACAGTGGGGATAGATACGAAACAGCCCATGGCAGCTGGCCCATAAAAAACAGGATGCTTGGCGCTCGGGCACCTTCACTGAGCGACTCCACTACGGGTCGGGGATGCCCAGTGTCCCAACATAGACTCTTTGTCACACCAAGAGGTTTGGATATACACCATACATGATGCTCAGGGATTGTTCATACCAAGGGAACCAGAAAAAACAACAGTTTGTTTTTTTTTTTACACGTTTTTTTTTTAAAACAGTTTTTGGATAAACAATATATTTATGTAAAATCAGTAGATTTATATTGGATAAACAATATAAACAATTGTCCCAATATGTAGAATCAGTTTTTGGAGCCCCTCACAGTTGTTGGAGTCCCACCTTTCCGAGGCTCATCAACGGCATCGACAAGTTCATTGAGGGCGATACCGAGGAGGATGCACTCTGAAGATTTGGGATAGGGCAACAACAAATTAAAAAAAACTGCGGGGAACCAGAGGAAACCCAGGTTTCGACTTTCTACCCTCGATAATTTGCCATTTTTTCTACAGTTGAAACCCAGGTTTCTAGCGTCAAATTTCGCTGGAGTTCCTGTCAAATTTCGCTCATTTCATTGAATCCCATGGCTAATTTTGGTGGCCACTTGCGAGGCCAGAAAGGAGCTGCAGGTTCCTCTGCACGTCATTGAGGGACCATTGATGCAAGGACCGGACCTTGGGACCTTGGCCAGGGGAGATCCAGACCCTCCGGTGATCCAACATCCAACACGGCTGGAAAATCGCATCTGGAAAAGCATCTGGAAATGGTCGAATTTCCCACGTTTGATCATGGGATAATGGATGATAATGGGGATTAGATGCGATTAAGATTTATCAACTTGTCCTTGGATAGGGGATGCCCTGTGAGATGCGAGACTTAAATCATCGAAGTAAATGGGCTATGGGCCATGGCTTCCAGAACAACCTACTAAATTGCCGGAGGGTATGTTGGAGATTGAAGTTTGACAGTAACTCTACCTCCCAGTGTATTTTCTGATTCTTACTTGCCCTACAGCTGGAAATGAGATGAAATGAGATCACCAGCCAAGGGCAGGGCGTCCCCGCAGGGGTTGGATCCGTCCATCTGATTTCACCCTCCTTGGGATGACGATTCCAGGTTGACCCTGATATTTTCAGGAACCCTCTGGAAACATGACACAAATCCATCAACCACCACAACCACCGCAGTCCATCTGGGCGAGGAATGGGCATCATCGGAGATCTCTTCGGTGCTGGTAAGATGTTCTTGCCGCAGGTCATCAAGAGCGCGCGCGTGATGAAGAAGGCTCGATCCAAACACCGGAATGGCATGGAATGGCGACCAAAATTCTGAGGGAAAACCATGGTGGAAAACCCAAAAGCCACAGATTTTGTTGATCACATTGAAGAAATTTGAAGAATTTACTCTGTATATCTCTGATATCTCCATATCATCTACACGTTGACCATCCAATCTCGGGGGTCCAAAAACTTCCCGCGTGATAAGCTTCGCTGGGATCCTTGTGATACGCATCATTGGAATTTCGCTATCTGGTGAGTAGCATTAAATAGATGAACAGCAGTCATGCATAATACAAGAAAATCAAGAAACTATCCAAACCAGGTTTCGTTTTGAAGTGGATGTTGGAATCTGCAAATCCAACAGTTGTTGTTTAGACCGAACATTTCAAGGCCACAAATCCTCGGCCATGGATGACAGGCTGTCGCATACCTGACTCCTTTCATGGAGGAAGAACGTCGCGCTCAAGCCTCTTGGATTTTCAAATCTTGCTGAGTTAGGTTCAAACATGTTCAAACCATACGAGGAAGGTAATCAAACAATTTAAACCTGGCAATTTTCCCAAGATCCCATCGTAGTTCGGGGATTTCCCACGATTGATCCCTGATCCCCACCATCCCGATTTTTGCATCCAGGCCATTGCCGCTGGTGAAGATCCCAACCAGCCCAAGTACAACGGCGTGGTGCTGATGGCCCAGAGCCCAGTAGAGATTTTGGATGGCTACCAATGGGGATCAAGTTGCATCCAGATAAATATATAAATAATATGTACACAAATAATATCCAAGTATGAAGTGTGATAAAATATGATATACATAATATATACATATAATTTATGGTTTCATATATATATAGGCAAAACAAATAGTGTTTCACACGTTGAGATTGAACTGGCAAATGTCCAGCCTTCAGAAGTGTTACACCCTGAATTGGACAGTGCAGTGTCAGACTGAAGGCCACCGTGAAGGGTGACGTGCACGACATCGGTAAGAACATTGTTGGCGTGGTGCTGGGTTGCAACAACTACAAGGTGCACAGCTGAATGGGGGAGTGAGAAGCAGTGGGAACGGGATCCTTCTCTAGGTGAATGAAACCACATAGGGTATATAGGGTTTAGAAGGTAACATTTCAAAGTAAACTTAAACTCAGTGCATTCATTTGGTGAAGCTGGGAAATCTGGAAGCAGTTTCACCGGTTTCACCAATGGTCGTTATCTATGAACAGCATCCATGAAATATCATGAAATCATACCATCATACCGTCTATAAAATCATCTCTAATCATGCCATCATCTTCCCATACAATCTTCCCCATTTCAGATGGGTATCCCCCATTTCAGAGCGCAGCCACATGGTGCCATGGTACCCTACGACACGAGTCTGACGGCACGTCGTGCTACCACGCGTCCTACCACGATTAATGAATGTTATATAACACCATATAACATCACCTTGACCATAACCTCTATAAAATGCTGAGCTCAGTACCTGTTATAGGGCGTATCATATAACACCCCAAGCAACCCTGTAGTTGGTAAGTCCTCACCAGATGGTTCCCCTTTTGCCACCAGCTTTTTACCGCTTTTCCAGGTGATCGACATGGGCGTCATGGTGCCATGTGACAACATCTTGGACAAAGCCATCGAGGAGGGGTCACCATCAACAGCTGGTTTCAGTGTCTTTCACCAGATGGGACATTTCACCAATGGGACATATCAGACAATATCTCTTTAATGGGACATAACAATATCAACTAATATATCAACTAATATATCAACTATCATTTTGACCAGAGCGTAACAAGCGGTCTAGCAGTGCCATTGGCTTAAGCCATTGAGTGCCTCTTACACTTCGGAGAAGTTTGCAGGAGAAGGTGGACGTGATCGGTCTCTCCGGGTCACTGTAGCTGCAGAGGAAGTTATGGACATCGATGGACATTTCCACATCGATGGGATTCCATGAATTAACGACACATGACATGAATCAAACACAACCAATATCTTCCACTAAATGTCAGGACTCAGAAGCCTTAACTTGAGATACTATTGACGGACTGGATGATGAAAAGCCTGAATGGTCCATGGCTTGAATCAAGGCTGATCACTCCATCTTTGGACGAGATGCAGTATGTTGCTGCCGGGGGCCCAACTTGATTCACTTCATTGGTCGCTGTCATTGAGAGCTACAAAGAAACACCAGGATACTGTGGCTCCAAATCTATTTTTTTTTCCAAATGTTTCCATTGATCAAAAAGGTTTCCTGGGAGGTTTCTGATTTTTGCCGGTTTGGTGTAGAAAAGGACACACTTTTAGATCTTTTAGACTCATGCTCCAGTTTCGCAAGGCTGATACTTAAGGTTTGGCCAAGTAAAGATCACAGACTCAAGGTGGGAACCAGAATCTGTTCTGTCTGAGGAACAGATGAAGGCTCGAAACATGAAGGTGCCTTGGCTCTGCCACGGATGGTGAAGCAAATGCATCGAACAAATGCAAAAACCAAGGAGCTGTGGTACTCGTACTATTTCGTACTTGGTTCTTCTTATATTCTTAAAATTTCTTAAATATTCTTAAAGACTTGGACTTGTACTAGCATTCCCTTTCCCTATGAAGTTCATTTTGTGGAACATTGTGGAACACTAGATCCATAGGTGCCTTTGATGATTGGCGGTGCCACGACCTCCAAGCGCCACACTGCTGGGCTCCAAGACGGGCTGTGAAACGTGTTCCGACAGAAGCATGTGAAGGTGAATATCATGCAAATGTGAAGAGCTATTTGATTATAGTACAACATAGTACAACATAGTACAACATAGTATAACATAGTATAACATAGTATAACATAGTATAACATAGTATAACATAGTATAACATAGTATAACATAGTATAACATAGTATAACATAGTATAACATAGTATAACATCATAGGAATTTGATGGAATTTGTATATCTCTATCCAAGTTTCAAACATCCACGATTTATCATCCACTTCCCCCAAAAAACTATCCATTTCCTTCCCCAAACATCAACAAATCATCGGCTTCCCAGGCTGTGAAGTTGGCCACCAAGTATGACAAGGGCGTCATCCACGTGCCTTGACCACTTGATGTCAGCATGGCCCGGGAATCCACGTTTTTTTTTTATTCGCTTTTTAGGACGCCAGATCATATGGATCAACTTTTTTTGGGATATGCTTCAGTTGGGCCACAAACGAAGTGAGCCAAACCAGTTAAAACCAGCATGGAGCGATGGTTAGTGATTGAAGAATCACCCCGAAACGGTACTCAACCATTGTGATTTCCGTTGATTTCATACGCATTCATTTTTGTATCGGACCTTACTCGTTTGTTGTTGCTCTTAGGTATGTGATCAAGTTTTTTTAATGAAATATCTACACAAAGCTATGGCCCATCAGCCACTTCCCCAGGTCTTGGATGCAAGCCGAAGCTGCACGGTGGTGAGTGCCTTGTTGCCGGGGGCTCATTTTTGCGAAATGTGTAGCCAGGATTGTATATTAACATCCTACAGTAGAGAGTCAAAGGTTTTTTTCGGCTACATAGGCTCCCCCCAAAAAGATTACCTTGCCCAACATGTACTGTATAGATTAGTGGATCATTACGATCTGGTTGGTGGTTTGGAACATTTTTGATTTTTCCATATATATTGGGAATGTCATGATCCCAACTGACGAAGTCATATTTTTCGGAGGGGGTGGTTCAACCACCAGAACCAGGTATAGATTAGTGGATGATTCATGGGTGGATCAATCAGTTGATCATCCATGAATCATCCCTGAAAATCCCCGAAAAAAATGGATCTGGTGATGATAGGTGAAACGGTCACTGAGCTCATGGAACTGCCAGGTCGCACGACAAGCAGACCTACCTCAGCGAGATCACTGAGGAGCTGCGCCAAGTGACTGCCGGTGATGATGCGGTGCTCGGGTGATGGTGATGGTTGCTTCAAAGATGATCACCAGATCATCACCATGATGATGATATCATGGTTGCTTCAGATTATTCACAGATTATTCCACCATAAGTGGTATGGTGGTGATATATTTTTGTGATATTCCACTGATATTCCAGCTGATAGTTCAAGTTCAAGTTCCAACATCTTGATAGAAGATTACCTGTCATAATGATGTCAGAATCATGGTGGATTCTCGACCTCTGTAAAAAAATAGTGGTAAAGGCGGCATCTAGTTCACGATCGTTTCTTGTTGTTTCACCGATTGAGCTTTGTGATCTCAGCTTCAAAGGCCAGAGGGATTCACCATCTGCAGGAGTACACCGAGATCAGGGAGGAGTACTACGCAACTTTGATCGACAAGAAGTGGAAGAGCATCACGGAGGCCTCCTTTGGATTCAGAGAAGTTGTGATGGGTCGATGATGATTATGATGCCCGTTTATGACATTGACATTTACCATCAGTGATTCGATATAAGTTGGAAATTTATGGAAATTTTAACATGTGACATGTATCATATAATCCATATATTAGAGTAACCGACAAAATTATTGTACTACTGATTTAGTCTTGCTTCGCCTTGGCATGTCCGAGGTTGCACAAAACCTTCATAACCGATAGGGGACGACCCTAATTTGTGCATGGCATTAGATTTAACATATAATTTTGTTCACTACTCATATGATGAGACTCCGAACAAGTTTTGGGAAAGGATCTGAATCCAACACCATGCTGCTGGCATATGGATACAACTAAAACTTGCTCCGTTTGTCCAAACCAAGTAATATGAACAATATAGTAATAACAACAAGGATAATGATAATAACATATAAACATAAATAAACTATATAATATACATACACATATATTTATAACATATAACATACATATACAGAATTGAATTAATGGATATATCCCTTTGCACCAACGGAGATCGCAGCGATCCCGATGCCAGGCACAGGCCAAAAAGCCTTCCCTGGACTGGAGCAAGCTGCCACCCAAGCCGATACTCGGCGGAAAAAAATGGTGACGGGGTAGTGCTGGGTGTAGGTCTGGTAGCTATTGATGGCTATTGATGGCTATTGATGGCTATTGATGGCTATTGGTACTTAGCTAATTTGTGGAGCAAATGGGTTCCATCTGCAGTTCGGAATGGCTGAGATGGTCAGCTGCCACCTCCCACCCTCTGACCGAGGAACTTCGTGGGAAATCTGGCCATCAAGGACATCCGAAATCTTGGATCTGGGTATATCTGGGATGATCTGTGTATATCCATGGGATTCCATGGCTATTGCTATGACAACTGTTATGATATGTTCCCCCAACCGCCTTTTCGTCCCGCAGATGCAGGATCATCCTATCGAGGAGGTCATGGAGTACATCGACTGGACTCCATTCTTCCAGGCTCCTTGGTTGCCTCCGATGAGTAAATGGTGGAGATGCTTGTGTTGCTTGTGTTGTTTTTGGATGTTTTTGGATGTTTGTGGGTCTAATAATACCTTGAAGAATCATGAAAAGATGAAAACATATGAAAACACATGAACAAACCCTACTGGCTGCTGGTATGCCAGCTGAATGTGTGTATTTTTTGATGTCTCCTGTGGTGAGTGGGACAGTGCCGCCTCCCAAGCTGCATGGCGGGCTGCCTTGGAGGTCTACCAGCTGCGTGGGAAGTACCCCAACCGTGACTATCCTCACATCTTCAAGGCGCAAATTCGAAACCTTGAGTCGAGCTTTGAGCACTCAGTAGGACCCAGAAAATGAGGTTCAGGCAAGTCACAGCCCACTGATATTCAGCTTGATCCAGGAAGTGTAGGGTATGACAATGTAGGACAATGTATGACAATGTATGATATGTGAATTCAAGCCCCCCCATGAACTCATCATATAGTTGAGGTCCTTTGAGAAGACAACAAACGTTGCCGTGCAGGATGCTCGCGTGGGTCCAGAGGCCGAGAAGCTCTTTGCGGAAGCCAAGGAGATGTTGGTCGGCAACCCAGGATGTTTTCCTGCAGTGACCCATCCATATATATATAGATGGTATTTTGATATATCAAATGGTATGGTTATATGTCAAAATATACCATCCATATAATATATCAAAATATATCAAAGATCATCTGTGTCTACCGTGGTTCCATTTATGAACAACCAAATTTCGGTGCTAGCAAAGATTCAGGATTTCACCTGAGATTTTTCTATGATTCATTCGATTCAAGGCCTGGATCGTGAAGGAGGGCCACCTCAAGTGCTCAGGTGCTACCATGGGCCCAAAAAAGTGATTGGGGGATGGACGAAATCCTCCCATTTTCTTGGTGGTTATTTTTCCACCATATTTCTGTTGGTGAATTTCACGTGATTTCCTGATTTCATGTGTTTGTTGGCGAGTTGTCAATGACATTTTGAAAAACCGATCGGTTTTCCCAGCAGGGAGTCTAGGCAGCTCAGGTGTCTTCAATGCGACTCCCTCAAACATTCTTGTATGGGAACAACCTTGAAGAACCTATAGTACCATATTTTAGTCCATATTTTTGGGGGGATCAACATCCATTTACCGGCCATGTTGGTGTTCATCAGGGTACAGTAACTTGATTTTGACCCATAGCCAGATATACTCCGGCCATGATTTTTCATGTGGCCAGTCCAGAGATGTCCAAATCTATTCGTGTTACCCTGCCAGCTGGCCATTTCTGGAATTTCCAAGGTCGCCATATTGGGTTTTAGGGAACATGTGCTGACGCCCCCCCAAGTTTTGAGTGGTAAAACCCATGGTTTTCCGAGTTTTCCCATCGAGTTTTCAAAAGTTCCCTCCATTTTCCTCCAGTCGCCAGGTGTGGTCGGTATCCATCCTGCCAACAGCAACGGTGATGATATTGAGGCCTCCTGACCCCGGGTACTTTGGGAACCCCCCCACTGATCTGCTTATGTTTAGTATGAACATGTATGAACCATCCAATTCTCTTGCTATGTTGGTACTCAAATTCGACTCACCCCCATGAAAAAATGATAAACAATGACACATTCAGTGAGTGTTTGTTCACGACGTTAGCACAATCAAGTTAGCGGTTTGGTCCAGGTCCGTTGTTTGTTCGGATAATGTGCCCCGTGTAGCAAAGAGATGGCGTCTTAGTGCCTGAGATTTTTGCTCACCCCCCATCATCCCCATCATCCCCATCATCCCCATCATCCACCAGACTCATCATCCATCCTTTTCTCAGTGCCAATACGACTCTATGGCAAGTTTGGGACCAGCAAATCATGGGACATTTTTTTGTGCTCCTGCCAGGTCTACACCGACGAGAGCCGCAAAGAGGTGAAGTGCAAGTTCTATGGCCTGCGACAGCAGCTGGACATGGGCGAATCCACCTACTGGTGCCAGGGCGATTTCATCGCTCCTAAGGACTGAAATGCTGGGGCACTGGATACCATGCAGAGGCTTTAGGATTTTTTGAAAGTGGATTTATATATAGATTTATTAACTATAATTATAATGTATGGAAATGTATGGAAAGCTCTGGATTCTCTATGATGACTGAGGGATATGACAAATAGATACAAGCGGTATCCAGGATACAAGTAAAAGTGGAAGACATCACAGGCTGCGAGCAAGAGAAAGCTTCGTCCTTTGTAGCTTGAGCAAGAACAATCACCCTCCTGGCTGTTGCTTTTAGAATCGCTCATCAGCTTGTCTTTCTGTCAAGCCTGCATTAGTTATTAGTTCCCAGGTCAGCTGTAGATGTTTCACAATGTTTCACCCATCCCCAATTTTTCCCTTTCCATCTCCTTCCAACTGCACATGAAACTTGTGCCAACTGGCTCTGAGTAACCAGCCCCATTATCTTGGAGAGATGAACAGATGAACATCATTGAACATCCCAAAGTTTGACCCAACCGGCCCACCCACGGGTCTTCCATGGGATCTTCCCATGGCCATCACCGGTTGACCGGAGGATGTGGCTCCTGACTACATCGCCGCCTTCGCGGCCACCGGTGGCATCGGCTGCCACGAGCAGCGACAGAAGTTCGAAGCCAAGGGCGAGATCGACAAGGCTATCCTGTTGGAGGCCAGCGCTTGGGACCATGGTGCAGCACCTTTGTAGCCAATATATATACATATATATGTGATCATATATATATAATATACATATATATATATACATATATCAATTGTTAAAGGAAATGACAGATAATATCTGATAATACAAGAAATGAGAAATAACATGTGCACATAGAGAAGCGGTGACATGACAATGACAATACCTTCTCATTTGTCTTCTAGAAGTGCCGTGAAGTTCATAGAACTACGACGATTTTCGACGAGAGTTATGAGCATCCATAAATACGTCCCTTTTGTAATTGTTCGGACGTGGGGGGGGGGGACGTCCATGTGACGTAAATTACGTCGCGAAAATGAGGTGGGGGGGGAGTGACGTCCCCCCCCTTAACGTAGTCCTGATATATCAATATATGATATACACACATAATTTATTTAATTATATATATATATTAACTTATATTATATATCAATATCATATATCTTCGCGAAGAATGGCCGTTTGCAGATGAAAGAACTTAGATCAACTGCATTCAACAGCATTCAACAGCCATATAATATATATATATAATACACTATATGATACTATATGACACATATAGTATTTCATTTATCGTTGTTTTTAATGATCAATGAATTGATGCAGATCCCGAGAACATACAATCCAAAGCCGGAATTCCAAAGAAAGATCATAATCACATCTCAATTTCAGTCACTCAGATTTTTATCTCACTGTCAATAGGACAAGAATCAAGCACTATATATCAATGAATCATCATTCTCAATCACTCATGGTACAAGTAATAATGACAATCAATGACAATCAATGACAATCAATGACAATCAATGACAATCAATGACAATCAATGACAATCAATGACAATCAATGACAATCAATGACAATCATCAATAACGAGTGATGCCACTAATCATCAATAACTAATGATCAATCATTCAATCCGTGAGTGAACATTACTCATATATCAAATTGATGTCACATTCCAGAGTTCATCAATCTACAAATTATTAATTATCATCAATCTACAAATAGGATATTCTTACATATTCTTATACATTCCCATAGATATTATATATGATATCCATTGATATCCTCATGATCCTCCCCCAAATCACTAGGGTTACCCTGAAAAATAGCATCTTTTTTGGTGGACACGATCTGCAGGCTGTGGCAGATCGCCTGGCAGAGGCCTTCTCCGAGCTGATCCACTTGAAGATCCGTTGCTGGGCGACAAGTCATGACATGTCGTGGCATGTCGTGGCCCAGGCCATGGCCAAAAAGATACCCTCTGGTAATGACTAGTGGATTTAGAAATAGTGGATTTACTATTTTAATAGTACCATATTTTAATAGTACCATATAGTGGATACCCTCATTACTATGGATAACTAGAGTTTGCGAACTTGAAAATGGCCCAGTCGAAATAGTGGATTTACCCATTAATAGCATTGTGATTTTCCATAGTTTTTTTGTATGTTTGCCAGAGGGTAGTAAGCTTATCCAGGCACAGTTTTGGTTTGCTGCTATCTATCTCTAATTGCTTGGTGACTAGTTGAGTCAATGTTGAGATCACTTTTGGCATCTTTTAGGTACCTTGAAGATCCTTGAGGTTTTCAGAAGCGTCCAAAGATGCTGTTCCAGTTCTGGGGTACTAAGGATGATTCAGCCTTTTAAATCTTTTGATATGCTCGTGATTTGTGTCAGGATATGTCACCTGCAGGATACCCTGATATTCTGCAGGAAATGCAGGGGGACTCTGGCAGAACCAATCTTTCGCCCAGGAAAGAGCTTGTGGGGCTATTCGTTCCTTGGCATCGGCCCAGTGATGTTCCAAAGGAATCGGCCAGTGATGTTTCCAAACCCCCAATCCCAGCGGCACCACCCGAGGCCGGAGGAGAACATCTCCTTGGAGGACATGCTGAAGGTGAAGTACCAAGGCATTCGCCCAGCTCCGGGCTACCCTTCGCAGCCTGACCACCGTGAGAAGAAGACCCTGCCGGGGCCCAGGCGGTGTGAGCAGATTGGGGCAAGGCTCAGTATTTATCAGCAAAACATAGCAAAACCGTAGATCATAGATGTTGAAATATGTTGATATCCAATGTTTTTACCAATTTGAAGATTTAATATCCTGCTTGGTGGTTTCGAACATTTTTTTTATCTTTCCCATCATATTGGGAATGTCATCATCCCAACTGACAAAGTCATATTTTTCAGAGGGGTGGCTCAACCACCAACCAGATTTTTATTAACCATCATTAACCATATAACAACCATATTAATTAACCATGGTGATGGGGTAGGTCAACCACCAACCAGTATCCCATTAATCATATATCCCATCATATAACCATATATAACCACTATTATTGGTATTATAACCACTATTATTGCTATTATAACATATTATAACCACTATTATTGGTATTATAACATATTATAACCACTATTATTGGTATTACTGTATAACCACTATTATTGGTATTATAACATATTATAACCATTATTATTGGTATTATAACAATTATAACCACTATTATTGGTATTATAAGCAGTATTATTATATTAAACTATAGCTAAAATGACCTCAACTTCCACCAAGTCAGCTCCGAATCGCTACCTGAGGTGGGACCTTTTGGAGGTCGGCAGATTGACGGACGACAAGCTCGAGCTGACGGAATCCTACATGATGATGTCTGGGATCCACAGGATCTGGAAGTATAGCTACCATTAGGATATGAAAAAAAACCTGAATCATCAGCCAGTATCATATCAAATATGATCAAATACTTGAAGATTTTTTCGCATATAGCCAGTTGAGGGTATACCCTATACCCAGTATAGCCCTCTTAAATGGATAGGGAAAATATATGGGAAAACGATGATCAACCCATGGATTTAGAGCATTGACGGTGACTTGATTGTGTTGTTATATAAACCGTAAAAAATCACAGTATTCCAGTTCAAAAAGCCCAGTGAAAAAACAGGGGGGTGGAATCATCCAGTTGCATCCGGTTGCATCCGTTGATTTCCCCAGCTTCGTGTTGCAGCACTGAATTGAGGCCAAGCGCATCGGTGTCTGCCCTGGTGTTTGCGCACCCAGAGGCCTGACAGCCTGGTAGAACAGTTGAGGACAAGATGTGTTTCATGGGAAAAATCATGGAACATTCATGGAAATTTCATGGAAAATTCATGGATCTGTTCAGGGTTGCTCTAACCCATTATAAATCATCATCAATCATAGAGTGAAAACCATGGAAGAACTGACTCGTACTTCTTTATCTACCAATGTTTTCCCTTGTATCTGGGGTGGGAGCGACCCTGATGTTGGAACTGTTACCCTGATGTTAAATGTTCCATGATAAGGGGAGTTTCATGTTACAAACATCACCAAAATACTCATATGGTCAATGGATGTTAATGGTTGTTAGTTGTTGGCAGTGGTTCCCCCCCAAAAAGATCACGGTGATGGGACATCTCATCACCCCGCAACGTTGCGTTCGGACCTTGAGCTACTGGCTTCATTGGCTTTCTGGCCTATTTGTTGCCACTATCCATCTATCATTGGAATGCAAGTGGGATAAGAAGCTCGATGGGATATGAAGAATCCAAGGGGCCATCAGATTGGCTACTTAGCTAATTGCTTGACTACTTGACTCAACTTTCATGGAACTCTCAGCTCAAAGATGCTCAAAGTCTCATGGCCAGGCCAAGTACTTCTCAGTTGGCCAAGTGAACATGGATCAGGTGAAGTGGTTGCCTCAGTGGGCCGAAAGTTTTAAGTGCCAAGGTGAGCCATCTCAGATGTGCAGAATGCATGACCATTGTATACTCGTACATCTGTGTGTATGTGTGTACATATTTTTTTTATACCATAATACTATATATATATATATTATCGTATATGCCACATTATAAGATTTATAAGTATATATATATATGTGATTATATATATATCTATATGTAGTTGTAATATATTGTAGTATAGAATATCCGAATCTTCATCTCCAGAAGCTAAATAGTGTCACTCTTCCTTAAATCAGACGATTGTTTTCGGGAATCGCCAATCAGGACCTACGCTGAGCGACGTGGCGAGACTGGCGTGGAGGAGCTGTGGGTCGATCTTACGAAGCGTTTCCGTTTGGGATGATTTTTGGGACTTAGATGATGGTTAGGCTTGGAATCATCTTAAAGATCGAAAAATCTGAGGGTATGTAATATTATACAATGGGAATGTTGATTTGGATATTATATGATATTATATATAAGATATCTCAAAAAAGTGCTGAAGGTTTGATTTGGGAATTGGAGTTTTTTTTTAAAGCTGAGACTGATGTATTCATGGTTATTCTAATAGATTAATTATCAATTGGAATCCAGATGTACAACAATGATTGTCGGCATGATGAAAATATATTTATATATTTATATATTTATATATTTATAAATATACAACAATGATTGTCGGCATTAATTATCAATTGTGTTCCAAATCGTTCTGATGATGAAGATCCTACAAGAGATGTGCTGAGTGAAAAAAAACGATCGCTGCTTGATGCCCAAAAGCGATACCATCCGGTAGTCAAATATGGCAATGGGAAATCCCTATTAGATAGGCATCTACATTTAAATGGGAAAATCATCCATAAATAATGGATTTTCCATTCCCCAATTTCGCATGAGGGATTGTTTTGTCATGTTTTGTCTTCTTACGTCTTGATCCCAGCTGGAAAGGCGCCCCCAGTTATCAGTTGGTTTATGACCCCATCGAACTATAGATTCTAAATATTAAATATCCACCAGAAATCCAATCGTTAAGCCGTAACTCAGAACCCCCCCATCATTCGCTTTGTCTGAAAAGTGGGTACACCCCAAACCACCGAAGACCACAACTAAAAGTTTCTTTTTAACCCCATTCTCAGACCCACCCTGAAATCACATTGTTGGCTAGTTATAACATGTTGTACCCTCTGGTAAACTAACATAACTATGGACAATCACAATTTTTCATGGGAAAACTTAAAATAAATGGCCATGTTCAAGTTCGCTACAACTGTTAGATCTGTTAGTTTACCAGTGTGTAACCCATCAATCTGCCACTTCTCCGCATGAAATCCCCATGAAATTCCCAACCGGTGTCCAGGACACAGAGCGTTGGCTGGGATCCACCGTCTTGGGCTACGAGAAGCGATGAGCCCGATGAGCCTTGATGGTGTTTTTGGAATCATGGAGAATGGTGTACATTCAATCAGTTATCCATGAATGTACACCATTATATATATTATATATCTATTATCCAATAATATATGTACACCATAATCAATCTAGTCATCTATATATATAATATATATTAAATATCTATTACCCATGTATACATGTATCCATGTATCCATTGCAATGTATAATATGTTACAATTCAGTCATTACACTATCTATGTTATAATGGATTATAATGCTGTATAGATAATGACTGAATTGTATGTAAATGATGTATGAATAACGGTAATTCCACTGTGAAATCTATTATCATCTATTGTCTAATGGTTGCAAACATATGTAAACATGGAGAATTAGGGTGATTCATGGTGATAAATGGATTATAAATGGTGTATAGTGTATAGATAATGACTGGATGGATGATATAACAAACCAACTACATTGGTCAGGTTACTATTAATGAAATATACATGGAAGGGCCTCCAGTAATCAAACCTGGATCGGACAATTCCCCAATAAACGATGATGTCCCCGACTAGAAACCTCCATGAAATGAGTTTTCTCCAGGCAGCCATGGTACCGGACAGCTGGCAAAATACCGTGGATTTGAGAAGCAAGCACCGAGGGATTGCACCAGAAATCATGGCAAAGCGGCAAACCATTGAAGCATCAAAGGTGGTTATCAAAAAACACGTGATGGGATAGAACTGACAGTTGGTATGGTTGAGAGTAATATGATCAAAACTGTTTAGATGGTGAGAATGGAAACACTGGTAACCATATTGCTGACAATTTTCATGACCCACCATCGTCATCGCATTATGCCACGACCAATCACCCAAATTGAGACAACAATCAAGATAATCAATGACGGCCAAACTACAACTACTCATTCTCAGAAACTATTGGTGTCACGCCAATCAAACAAAAACTTGAACCAACGAATTTCAAGTAATCGTCAAAGAATGCAATTTACAAGCACAGACAAAACACGACAAAACAACCAAGACAGAGGACGAAAACAGGAGATTTTACCTATCAATCCTGTGCAGGTTGGGCATGTAAATCATCCAGGTAAGGCCCAAGATACCGCGTGAACTGGTGATGTTCATGGATGCTGGACCTGTGCTACTGAGGATGAAAAAAAAGAACTTGTTCTTCAGCAAGATGTCAATTGCTGAGGAGCAAAATGATTTTCCTTTACATTTTGCATGGAACATGCTCTTGGATCGCCACATTTTTAGGAACTTTCGGCCAAAGTTCCAAATCCAACCATAACCAGGCCTGGGCAAATGTGGGCGATCCCGGAGATGCCTGAAGTGGCTGCACGTGTGGCTACTTCAGGCAGTTTTAGGCGTGCATAGGCACGCATAGGGGGGAATGTCAGCTGAATGTCTCTGACACAGAAGTCCTCCATTTCGGTGCACCACTGCGCGTCAAACCCGCTGGTGCCTAATCCAATTGTGTATTTCCAGTGCTTCCTTGTCCAGCAGACTCTGCTGTGAAGGAGCCACACCCGCGCAAAAACGCTGCCACCAGATGCGATTTTTTGAGGTTTGTGAATCAGCAGAAAAAATCTATGAATTTATGCCAATGTTCATCCAAAGGATCAATGTACTTTTCATTTTGAACACATGCTTGATGTCGCCAAAAACAATTAGTCTTGTTGGCTTTGCTATTTGCTAATGCAATCGCAAATCCGTATTTCTTTCATTCATGTGAGTTTTAGCCCACACCAATAGGTCAGTTTAAACTGACGGTCTGCAATCCAAATCCTTTCAATATAGCTGTGCAATACCATGACCAAAGGGGATGGATGCCTTGGGGTTTCTTTTGCAGCATGACTTTGGATGACCAATGGCTCAAAGGTTACTTTCAGGCCAAAGCCCCAGAGCCATCATCATTTTGTCACAGCGGCTTCGCCAGGTGCCGCTGATGTAGTCGACCTTGGCTGAACAAGCAACTCTGGAACTAGTGGAGAGACCATTTGCATGGCTTGGCAAGAAGAAGCCGCACACACACACACACTCAACATGAGTCAGTATCATTCAGTATCTACAGCTGTCTACGTGTTAGAAGTTCGCGCCTCGAATACATAACAACCACCATCGCTACCACGAAAACAGCTGAGCGCTTTCATCTCAGCACCTGCTAGCTCCATGGAACATGGCGACTCCGGCCAACACCACACGTCGGAAGAGCATCCTGGTGACCGAGGCCCATGGAAAGTTCATGATGATCTACAGTCATCAATCATCATCAGTTATATATATTATTTATAAGTATCACTATAGTGTATGATCTACAATAATCATATATATATATATTATATACATAATCGGTGATTTACCATGTTATAACTGAGTTACAACATGTTATAACTATAAAAATACTATACATAGCTATCACGAGGAGGTCGTGACGACTCCTTCGTCGTGTTTCTCCGTGAAGTCCGTGGCCAGGCCTTGGACATCATCGACCAAGACCAATCTGGTGACCTCGGAGAGGATGAGGTGAAGACCTTATTGGCGGCCATGGGTGCCTTGGCGGCCGTGGGCAACGCATGGCAACGCGGGGCCTGACATGCCGACGGGAGGTTTCTGGTTCTAAGATGTTCTAAGTTAGGGATAGTTATGGATCGTCTATGGTATGCAATATATGTGAATATGATTGAATATGTCATCCCTTTTTTGAGCTATAGAAGTCATACACATCTCAAAAAGCCCTGAAAAAATCCATAAACATCCACCTCTCAAGGTCTCAAGGGGAAGGACGTGCAGAACGTCATGACGGCGGTCTTTGAGGAGGCCACCTCAACGACCCACCAGAAGGTCACCGATGCCATTTTGATGTGGACCGAGATCGGGGAGGGCGACCTTGAAACGATGCTGGGGAGAGAGCCTTGGACTGGAAATCCCACAGCTGTTGACTGGGAAAATCTGGAGATGAAAAAGTTCCCACATTCCAGTTGTCCACATTGCTACTAGTAGGGTCAATCAACTGAAGTAGTTTGGTTCAGGCCCTCAGATAGCAAGTTTGGGAAGTGCTCAAATGAGCTGTTTTTACCCTTCGCACCCTGAAAAGGCTGGGAAACCAGGGTCATGCACAGGGCTTGAGGGTCACTCATAAACCGACCTGGAGAGAAAGAGGGGAGTCACCAGACAACTGGACATCCAGGTGATCAGAGAAGGGATTTTTCCATTGGGGTAGTACTGCTGGTGATTTGCAGATAACTTGTTGCAAGTTGGGAGTTGTTGCCTTGTTTTTTCCCCTGTTCTGGCATGCTTCGCAACCTTTGAATCTATTTCCAGCAACGCTAATTTTCTCCGAGCATTTGTTAGGTGGTCCTGTTCCAGAAGGCCTTCCGCAAAATCGATGTAGACAGAAACTCCAAGCTCACTCTGAATGAGGCGCTGGCGGATCAGTTGGCGATGGCATTAATCAAGCGGTTCAAAACTGATGATACTGATGATTGGTTCCTGTTTGAAATCGTGAAAGCCCTTCCTGACTTAAAAAAAAACATTAAAAAACACACATTACACTTTGAAGACAGCGTTGAACTGACTATGTTGATTCAACCAGCTAGAAACCAGCTGAGCCAGTTGGTGCAGTTGATTCCAGCGACAAAAATGTGTTGGTGCACCAACTCAGATCATTTGGATGATGGAAAGTCTGAACATCGAGAAGAAATTGGCTGCCGATTTAATGGCCTTTTTGGACTCTCAGCGGACGGATTGGCCCATCTCTGGGTTGTGGGAGTTGGAGAGATTGGAGAGACCTTGATTTGGTGATTTTGGCCGGTTGCGACAATGATATGCTATTGGCCGGTGGTTGATCTGCCGGTAGGGGATCCAATTGTTGATATCCGTGATCTGCCGTAGGGGGCGGTTGGTAGCGCTGGCTGGGCAGATCGACCAAACATCACCGTTGGGTTTACTGTTGCATACCCATCTATACTTGGATATACCTTTGCTTGGACCGACTGTAATTACCCGCCCCATGGTGCTGATTGGCGATCTACTGCATAGTGGGAGTGATACCACACTTCCGTACATGTCCAATATGTAGGTGAAGCTCCATGAGCTCTCAAATTTTCCAAGAACAAATCCACAATAACCCACATTTTGAAAGATTCTGGTTTGGTGAAAGAGTTTTTCTTTATATGTAATTATCTGTGTAATATATTTAAGATGTGTACCTATATTTAATACATTATTATATATAATATATTATTATTTTAGTTTATTATACAATAAAACATGTGAACTCCCCCAAAAGTCCACAGATCCACCAGCTTCGCCAGCATTGGCCGTCTTGGCCAACCCAGGACGATGATGACTCAGGTACCGTCACATGGGTGGAATTTGTGCGAGGCATGAGCAGCGACCAGTTTCAGGCGCCCGGTTTTTCAATATGGCCGGGCTGGCCGGGATGAAGAATGGGACATGGATACCACATGGCAATATGAGATCCCCTACAAGAATAACAAACATGGATACTTCTTTTATTAGATGAAGGTTTTAATGTGACATGTATTACATGTATCCATGCATGGCCATTGCCATTGCCATGCTTTCTCAAGCATCAATTTTTTTTGGGTTACACATGGTTACACTGTTTTCAAACAAACCCAGGTATGACTTGTCACCGGAATGACATCTGAACGAATTGGAAGATGTTGGAAATGGATGTTGAGAAGTGATGATTCCTATCCAGCAAGATGATATCCAGGATATCCAGTGATGTGTGGCAAGCCAGGTGCTGTTCCCACAGATCACTCTGGAAGCTTTGGTAGCAATACCCTCAAGTTTGAGACAGCACAAGCGCCTTGACCACACGTGGGGCATCTGTCAGAGTGGAGAAAAAAGCTTGGCAGATATGACATTACTGCATTGGGGCTCCCATGATTACAATTGATTACACATGTGTGTGCATCACCCTAGCTTGTGTTAAAATGTGTTAAACAAATTTGAAGTTTACCCAGTTTACCCATCATTAGAGGTACATTGTCACAAGAAACCTCCATTGTGACCCACACGATCCGACTTGGGAAAAGGATGGCTGGGAATTCCCCCATGGATGAAGAGCACAATTTCACCATGGCTGGTTGAATCACAGTTGGTCATTTTTGGTCCATTTTAAGGTCCAAAAGACAGGTCTGATATGGTCTAATAATTTAATAAGCCTTGTTGCCCAGCAGAAAAACGTGCTTTCCGATGGATAAGAGCATAGAAGAGCCACGATATTCCTGGGAGACTTGCCTGGCAGTTCCGTGCTGAGGATTGTCAGTAAAGAGGAAGAGGCTGAGGCGATCAAAGATTTACCTGCGATGGACCTTCTGGCTTTGCTTCAAGTTGCTGCCGTTTTTTGCATGTTTTGGATGGCCAACATGCACCCAATACGTGTTGGATGGCCAACATGCAGCCGGTTCAATCCACCAAACTGCTGTCCATATGGGAAAAGCCAGATTCACTATGAAGCCATTGAAATCATGGTGATCAAAAAATCACCCCAAGCTCGGGAAATATGCAGATCCCTCCACACGCTTCCCCTACAGTATGTTTGCAGGACAACGACCCCCCTCCTTTGGAAAAGAGGCTCTGATACTACGTTATCTTAGCATATCTTAGCTATTCCCAGATATCTGCAGACCTGCTGAGTTACTATCCAAAAAGCTAACTGCAATGAGGGTGCCACCAGAAGTGGACCTTGAAGCGAACAGATTGGTGCCACCAAGTGCCAGATTAGTTGAGATATTACACACTTCATGATAGGGATAGCAACATCTACCAACATCTATCAACCATCTTCCCCCCATGCCATATATAGTCACTGTAGCCGTTAAATCTCTGGCGTTTTCCCAGGAAAAGAGTCTCTACTGGATGATCTCGTTGATCTATGGTCGTTCCGCCCCGATTCCCGCGGACGACGACGAGGATGACGCGACGTTGGGCGCAACGTACTCCTCGGAGGATCTCACGAAATCCAACGAGACTGGCGCTATCAGTGACCAGACTGCAGGACCATCAGAGACCACAAAGTTTGCCCAAACTTGGACTGAGAGAGTAGAAAGTTGGTTTAACATTGGTTTAAACTTACGTATACTGTAACTTACGTTTAAACTATATGTTGAAACGACAGCTCTTGGTTCTTTTTCCGGACATGGGTTGCACCATTTACAGAGGGCTGTTCCTCTGAACTTGTGAGTCACTGCATCTTCGTGTCCGCATGATATCATTTCTCAGGGATTTGCCCTTCAATTGGACCCTCGGTGCTGGTGCAATTTTCAAACGTGCAGGTCACTGGAAAATGGAATCCCAGTTGGGGGTACCCCAACGATCCAAGTTGGGGGTACCCCAAAGATCCAAATAGATCCAAATAGATCCAAATAGTCACTCAGCATATGTTTTCCCATTCGCCATGTTTGTACATTGTTTGTTGGTTGTATTTGATATTTAAGCCATTGGTTTTCGCCCTTTTTTCATGGGCTTTTCATTGGTGCAGGTTCGAGTCTTCCCGGCCTCGATACTTTCTTAGCCTCGCTTGCATCCCAAGTCCCGCAGCACGAGAACGCCTGGGGGCCTGGGTGGAGGGATGGGAGACCGATCATTGCCCATGGGGACCCATGGGGATGGAGAATCTGTGGACATCCCCCGATTTTGAAAGAATTGATCATCTAAATAAAAAAAAAGAATATATTTCAATATGATAACATGATGATGTTGAACATCATCATGTAATATTTCAAGTTGTAAATTGATATGATCTAGAAATCCGGGATTTTGCATTGACATCATTGGCAGAGGATCATGTAGTGCCACTCTGAACCCCCAACCAACAGTCTGACTGCATTCCGCGACCAGTCAGGGATGGGTTGCTATAGAAGGTCTTCCCTGAGAGTTGGAATACATACCATGTCGTTCAACATGTCTTTCCCAAGGACTCGGGCTTTTCAAGTACGTCATCGTCCTCTTCTGACAGTGACAGCAGCGCACCTGCAGTCAGATGCTGGAGGGTGAGGACTTTTGATGTTTTGAATCAGATTGTGATGAGTAAGACCTACCTACAATATCACAATATGTACTTATTCTTGAAACATCCACACAATATGAAAAAATACATCTATATCTTGATGTTTACCGGGATTTACCAGGCTAGGGGGTAGAATTCATCATTGACCCCCCAGCTGTTGGCTTCAAAAAATGGATCTTCATATATCTTCATCCTTCCAAAAAATGGGATCGTCATTCCAGTTTAGTTGAATACACATTTGGAGGTTTCCTAAAATGGGTCCCAAATCATCCATTTTACTGGGATTTTCCATTATAAACTATCCATTTCGGGATACCTCCATGGCTATAACCACCATTTCTGGTTGGTGGTTTCGAACATTTTGCATTTTTCCATCATATTGGGAATGTCATAATCTCAACTGACGAAGTCATATTTTTCAGAGGGGTGGCTCAACCACCAACCAGATTATTATTATATAACCATCATTAACCATATAATAACCATATATTAACCATGGTGATGGGGTAGGTCAACCACCAACCAGACGTCGTATTGGGATGTATGGGTTTCATTTGGGTTCGAACAGCCGAGGTGATGCCACCACAACCTCAGCCGAGAGTGCTGAAGATCCGGCCTTGCCGGGGATGATGAGTCCAGAGGTAGCAACACGGGGAACCAATGGTTGGAAGATGTTGGAAGTGTACCAGGATGTACCAGGATGTACCCCTAAGTTTTAGGAAACATACTACATGCCCGTAAAAAGGATACTTAAAAGGCCACATGTTGGGGATTTATCGGTTTATCTCCCTAAGAGAGGCGATCCCGAGAATTCCCAATCCTCAAAAGAATGTGAATACGGAAGAGCATCCGAAAACACGGGGAATGCCTAAAAACATCTAAAAACGTGTTTCCACCAAAAAGGGGACGGGAATGCATAAACAAAGGGGAATCTAGAAAGGGGAATTCCCAAAGAGGAGGAATCGATCCAGAAAAATGAACTCGTATGAAAAGGGAAACAAACAGAATGGCAAACAAGTGAAATCAAAAAATGAGAGGTCTACAGTCGAGGTCTCCTCAGTGTTTGTCCTCAGTGTCAACCCTGCCACAACTGCAAATGGCTCAGGGTCGTTACCCGGATAATTCAGGATATTCAGGTTTGTCTGGATATGTCTGGATACCGCAAAATTATTTTCAGACACACGGATGTGAAGAGTCTCTAAGAGATGACTGATCTCAACATATCTCAACAACTCTTCCAGTGATCCTTCGTCGTCCCAATCCTTTCGAAGTCATAGAAGCTGTACACATGAAAGATATGAAAGCTACAACGCATAAGACATTACCAAGAGATACCAAGAGTGGTCAGATGTCAGAAGATTCGAGTGATTTTGGTCAGCGCAGGCAACGTGTGGGCCACTTACACTCGTCTCATGGCATATAGGCCACCATTTTGTGGTGTTGCTCCCTGGCACAGGACAGGAACCCTGTGGTGCTTTTCAGAAAGCAGGCCAAAGATATGCAGAAGGCCCTTTTTGGGCAGTGCTGGAAGCAGCTGGTGTCCCAAATGCGAATTTTGTGACTGAGATCAGGAACTTCTGATCGTTGGGTCCAGCTAGGTCCAGCTAGGTCCAGCTAGGTCCAGCTAGGTCCAGCTAGGTCCAGCTATTTGAATGTTTTTTTGGGAGTGGAAGGTTCGGGATTCTGTTTGAACTTGTGGGAGATGCAGGGTAGGGGAGTTTAGTGTGAACCAAGATTGGTGCGCGTTGGTCGGTCGCCCAAAACTTGGGTATCTCCCACCAAGCTGGATCAAAAGAAACTGTCCACCACACTCAAGCCGCAACATGCAGTGGCTTGGTGATCCTTACATATGTAGTTTCTTGAAATCGGAGACCGCAAGACTGTCTATTTCCAGTCCATTTCAGGCATTTCAGGACTCAGCACAACAGTTATTACTTGTTATTTCATGTTATCGTACTTTTTTTTGTTGGAATTTTCCCCAAAAAAATATAGCATATTTGTTCCTATTCAGGATCCCAGTCCGTGTTTTCTTCATCTTCAACAGCCCAGCCCAGAACTGCGCCAGGTGCAGCCTGTGAAGGTCCTGCCTGCTGCGAAGGTTCGGGGTGGGACCGATCTGATCATCGTTCGAAACGTGGACAAAGTCCCCGAACTTCAGCGCTGGGAGAAGGCGAAAGCGGCCCGGGCCGGAGGGTGATGGAGATGGAGATAGTCACTGGTGAAGACCGTTGACATTTTCGAGAGTTTGGGGGCATGAACTGAATGGATACCCGGATACCCATTTCGCAGCTATAATAGGAGGTGTGTCCAACTTTGTTCTTTAGTCCTGAACGGACTCTGAACGGGTTTAGGGTTCCAAGGTCCCGGTCCCTCTCCATTCTCACCCGGCAGGACCAGATGAATCCTCAAATCATCCTAAGAAAACGTGAGAGAGCCGGCAAGGCAGGGGCAGGAGTTGAGAGCCGAAGATGTCCTCAAAGGCTCCCTTTGATTCAAGCGAACTGTACATTGTACCCCTGTTTGTTGCGACACCAGCCTTTTCAGAAGGTTCTGAGATTCATTTCAACATATTTCATATTTCAACATTGTGCGCAGCTTTCACCAGTGTCCAAACGCAGCTTCCTCGCGGTTGGTTGTGGCCTGTTCCACTTCGCCATGCACCCTCAGTACTCGGTAGTGCCCACCAATAGCGATGGAGAGCCACCGGACGTGTTTTACGAGGACCCCAGGATGACTCACCGGCCGTACCCAAAGCGCAAGCCCATGTTGGTCACCAACAACGAGAAGCTGATGGATACTTCGGGCTGGTTCTTCAATATGGAGAGCCTCCCCTGTGGTGCAAGCATCAAAGAAACCTATTACGGCATTCGCATTGTGGTGTCGATCTTTTCAGGGATGCCACGGCGGCATTTGATGCATTTCTTACTGGTCTTCATTTCCTATGTACTTGTGGTGCTCACTGGAGCCGTTCAACTGGAACTGGTGGACACCTCCTTCTTCCGCGCGGTTGGCTTGCTGCTGGCCGTGCTGTTATCGCTTCGTGCTGAGAATGGTGTGGCGCGACGACAAGAGCTCATGGAGGGGGTTCTTGCTACCTGAATTTGCCAAAGGGATTTTTTTTTCCCGCTTGGTCAATCCACCATTTGGGGAATTTTGGGGAATCTAAATATAATTAATATATATTAATATAATGTTCTAAATGTTGATATTATGTTTTAAGAATTTTAAGATGTTTTAAAGTTTTATTTTTTGGCCCGTCCTAAGCAAATCCAAGGATATGATGAACTCTGCTGGAAACCTTTTGTTCTTATTTCAATTCAATCCCGACAGCCGCCGCAAACTCCTAGATGTATTGGAATTCATTTTCATGGACATAGCTGCGTGGGCCATGCCCTCCACTCGTCGAAGGGAACGACCGCCATATAGTCTTTGTGAGAACGGCGATTTGGATTCCTGGATTGTTCAAGATTATTTCTTTAATTTTTCATTGGTAGAGCATGGTAAAGCCACTTCTTTTTGGCGAATCCATATGTAATAACAATATATAGATATTACTGATGATATTATATAATTAAATAAATGATAATAACACTACTAATGATAATGCTCATTAATAATATTCCAATGATTTATACTTAAGCCATCTTAAGCCATTTGTTCTCAAAGCCCAGGAGTATTTACCGGAAGAGTATCCCGAGACGCTCTTTATGCTTCGTGCAAAGCACCGAGCAAACATCTCGCCACGTCCTTTGTTGCTGTGGCTTCGTGACCTCTGTGACGATCTCTTTGACCCTGACCTGGCCTGTCAAAGCGCTGGGTCTGAGAAGGTTGACAAGATCTCAATCATTTCCAAATTTCACCAGAACACCGAAAGGGAGTTTCCTGGTCTCAGCGTTTTTTTCTTTATTTTTTTCTTCAACTTTCTACATCTTTCTATCTTTTCGATATTTACAATCCATTGCAGCTTACAGATGTGCACAGATTAGAACCCCCCAGTGATTGACCATATCTTCATACTTTGGCGGTGCAGTGGTCCTAGGGCATGTTGTCAGTGATTGTTGACATGACGATCATTAAAAGACACAAAAAGTTGTCTGTCACACGTTTTTATCTACAGCTGCAATTGATTGATTGTTTCAGTGCACATCATTTGATCATCTTTGATGATATTTTGAGGATATTTTGATAACAATATTGACATATTGAGTAATGTTTGATCTTTTTATGATCTTTTGGACTAGGATCCGGACGCTCTTGGCGAAGTTTGACTTCCTGCTCATGTTCCGTGAGAGCTTCGTCACCGACCAGTTCCGCTGGATGCTGGAAACAGCGATCTTTGTCTACGTGGTGCTCTATCCCTGGTGCGTCTGCCACGAGTCCAATGTCGTCCTTGGCGCGACGACGGTGGGCATGGCATGTGTTTTCTATGGCCTCAACAGCTTGACGGAACAATTGGAAGATCCTTTGCATCATCAAAGCCAAAGCTTTGACCTCACCAAAACATTCAGGACTCACTTCAGGGACCTTGAACGTGATGCGAACATGAGAGAGTTTGCTGCTGACTGGCTCCGGGATTATGGAAAGCTTGGAGTCAAAGCAACACAGGAACTTCACAACAAATTGGAACGCTTCTTTACAAGAGCACCAAGGAACCAGGTATATCCCAACGGAAAAGCCGCCGGCTACTGTGAGGCGGTGTAACAGAACATACCTGGTAGCTGTGTAAATATGGAGCCGCACTTTAAAGCTCCAACAGAAGACGTACTGTGACATGATCTTATGGTGTAAAAGCACCATGGATCGAATCAAACAAAAATCAAACAGACAAAAAAGACCAAAAAAGAACAGGAAGTGAAGAGAGGGTCATGGATGGGTAATGGTTCCGTTTCCATCCGTTGCATTTCCCGATGTTCGAATCTGGCTGTCCAGGTGCAACCTGCCAAAGTGCGGACAGCGCAAAGCCTGGTGATCGCACGGAAGGTGGTGAAACATCCGGTTCCTTGGCGCTGTGATGCCACGTGTTTTTCACCGTGTTGGATCCCCTGTGGTTTGTTAGTTAAATTTTATCCTTAGCAGAAATTTGGGTATGATCCCCATCATTTGGGTAATGGAACACACCTGAAAAAGCTTATGGCATAAATAAGCACCGGCCGATCTGTTTTCGCGAATCAAACTTTACGTTTTTGTATATATATACAAAGATATCTGGGGAATACCTGTTTTCGATGAGCATCCAACAGAAAGAGGGTTACCATTTTCTCCAGTCAGAGAGAAAATCGCCTCATTGGTTGCCATTTTAGAGGATCCCCAACTCCCAAATACGGTATGATACGATTATGATCTGGTTCTGGCATTATACTAGAATGTGTTGACAGGAAAAACCAAAAAGGACGCCTCACAATTTGCTGGTACGCATTGGTAGGTCAGGCTTTGAACAACCTGCTATCCGTATCCTCTAGATTTTCACCAACATCAAGCCGTAACACATCGATTAATATCAATCCATTGATATATTGTAATCATTTATATAAGCCATTGATATATATATATATATATCTATTGTATATCTATGCAATCAATTATTATTCGCACTATTCCCCTATATTAATCCTATATTTTTGTGGATTTTATGATCAGCATGCCTCAATGTCCTGGCCCATGCCTCACCATTGGCCCAGGAGGCCGTGAGCCATGCCGTTCCCTCAGTGGCCATGGTTCCGCGGCCAGACAGGAGCCATACTTTTCATGGGGGAAATCTATGGAAGACCTACCAGATTTTGGGATATTTTTGGGTACATTCATACCAACTGGTAAACTAACAGTTTGCGAACTTGGACATGGCCATTTATATTTGATTTAACCCATTAATAGCATTAAAAATGGTGATTTTCCATCGCTTTTTGTATGTTTGCCAGAGGGTAATGGTCATGACTGGTCATGGATCACCATAGGAGTCCCAAGAAGGAAAAGAAGGACCAAGCCTTGGAGCTTCCTCGCACCAGCGGCAGAGCTCAGTCGAACGGGGGGAACCCAGCGATCCAGTATAATCCAATATATGTTACCCTCTGGTTATTTAACATAGCCATGGAAAATGACCCATTTATAGATGGTTTACCTATTACAAATGGTGATTTTCCATGGCTATGTTAAATAACCAGATGGTAATACCGGTAATACAGATGTATACACATTTGGCCAGAAGACCAAGCAATCTTGGTAAATATACCAGGATGTACCATGCTATGTTTTTTTTTGAGATTGTAGTAAATGCAGCGATCAGATCCAATGTGAAGGGCGAAATCCAGCTAGAACCATCAACTCTCCCCACTTCTGAGTGCAAAGTCATTGAAGAAAAACATGACATTCTTTCAAGATGTTCGACATGTTCAGAATATGTCAATATACTAAGACTATAACTTGATACAACTTGATTTTTTTTTGTATAGTTATTCATCAAATCAGATCTTTAAGATTCTTTAGGCTCCAGGGCTTCGCCCTGACCTGAGAACCAGGTCTGGAGAGCCAAACCCCAAAATCGATCCTGAAGGCCTGCCTGGAAAGGGGGACTACAATGGACTACAGTTCATCCAGGGAAGGGCCTTCCCATTATGTCATTATGTATATGATATCGTAGTATATTGCAATGTATATATACCAATAATTACATGATTATACTATATATATAGTTATATATGCACATATTTATATAGGTATGTATTCCATTTCTTTTCGATATTTGACTCAAACAATTGATCATGAGTTGAATTCCTAGTACCGGTTTGGTCCAGAAGTAAACTGTAGCGCTCGCCTCCAGTTTTCCCTCACAAAAATCATTACAGGATGCGAGCGCTCGCAAGAAATCAGCAGAGAAAGCAGTGGAGCCGCAAAAATCAGAGAAGCGGGTGTCACTGGAATCTGCGTTTGGGGCCTTGGTTGGCCGGTCGTTGGGTTTGACATGGACCTAGGACCTACTGGATGGGTGGTTGGCCGGTAGTTTGGTGTTCCAAACTTGATGGCTGAACAACCCTTCCAAGAAATTCTCTTTGCCCGGGAAACAGGATGAAACATCAATGATTGTTGCAGAAACATTTGCAACGCCAAGGCCCCGTATGGGTCGCCGTGGCAGCGTGATGGGCGCAGCGGTGACGTCCATGTTGCTGGCCTTGGGAAGCAGCTGGTGGGTTGCACAGGTTATACACACAACCATCAATTGGATATTGGCCATTGGACATATTGGGCTTTTTGATTTGAAGAAAATGGCTGTGCAACATGCAACATCATGCAACATCATGCAGCATCATGCAACCCGTTATGGATAGTTGTGGGAACGGGTCAAATTTGGGCACCTACAACTTGCAGGGTCTTAAATTGTTACTGATAGCCACTTGCAGACCTGGTAGAATATATTATATATTCGAATCGCAATCTATGCTGGTTTCAGCATATTCAATGTTCATGATGTGGATGGCTCATTGATGTCCCCCTGGTTCCGAAAAAAACTTCAAGTGCCAACCCGGGTAAAAATCTTTGTGTCACCGGGTGGCGCTGAGGATCCACGGATTTCAGGGGCTCACCAAAAAAAGACCTGCCAAAACGAAGACCATCACGCTGGAAGAATCTGAGCTGCAGAGAAGCCTTTCATGGTCGCTGATTAGATCAGGCTGGACTCGGCCTCCTGAATGGCATGTGTCTAAAGTCTAAAAGGCATTAAAAGGCGTGGATCTTTATCTCGTCAATACTGACGTGGATGTATGTGTCCAAAGGAAAAAAGCAGACAACATGTCTAAAGACCTTCAATGAGCAGAGAATCTTGGGATGTCTGTTTGATGTAGATCCCGGTTATCAGTGTATCCCACTCCAAGTTTCAGCCTCCACCTCCGAAAAAAGCAGTGAAGTTTCCATTTCCATGGCCCCAAATGCCCAAAATATGCACCAAGCCTGACATCTAAGGAGGCGGTCACCTCCATCAGATCCATGGAGGTCAAGGTTGGGATTTTCCCTTCATCGAGATTCAATCGATTCCCCATGTTTTTGCCCCCCAAATATTCCACATGATGAAGATACCATAGCTATCCATAGCTTATATATGCTTATAATATACTAATATATGGGATATATATGGGATATGCCATATATTCCAATATTCATGTATATCCCATAGCTTTTGCATCCTTTGGCAATTTTTTCGTGCGAAGCCCCCCCAGCTTCAGACAGTCCCCACCAGGAGAAGCACAACAAAGCGCACGTTCTGACGGAGGCCAAGCGCAAGGCCATGTGGCGCTGTGCGCACGCCAGGGAGCCCAAGGAGAATCGAATGGGCATGGGATCAAAAGCCTGGAGAAACCAACCAGAAGTGTGATTTGATCATTGGTTTTACCCTCTGGAAATGACTAACATAGCTATTAAAAATGGCCATTTATAGTGGATTCACCCATTAAAAATGGTGATTTTCCATAGCTATGTTAAATTACCAGAGGGTAACATGTTTTAGCAATTTTTAGCCTGTTTTAACTGTTTGAGCATCAAACATGAGGTTTTTCACGACCTAGCAACAATGGGGCTGTAAGCAACAAAAAATAGGGATGGTTATAGAACTGTACCTCTTGCGCCATCAGTTAACTTGCTAAGGCAGCAGTGCTGGCAGGCATTCTCGCAGGAGTGGGTGCTGCATTTTTTGCACAGGCCCACACCACCCTGCAGCACAGCAGTGATGGCAGGAGAATTTCTGTAAATTTGGATCATTAGATCCACTGACGCTTGTTTGGATCTTTAGATCTACGTTGCACGAAAATTCGGTCCACCGTTTGTCTCATTTCTTTGTCTTGTCATGCAACATTGTTTATGGACCCAGTGAATATCTTCACACAATGAAAACCTCAGAAGCGTAACGATATTTCCACATGAATGGTTTACTGTGTGCAGGCGCTCAACGACTTCACCACCACGATCGTAGATGAGGAAGAAGACTTTTTAGGCGGAACCGCGCGAATGTCACAGTTCAATAAATTTGGAGTTAGTTCAAATTCCATCCCCCCATCCAGAGATTTTGTAATTTTTAAAATCTTGGCAATCCACTGTTGGAGTGCCCAATACACAGTGGAGAGGGTTGGCTGTCCAACCTTAGCCTGAAGTCTCCTTCAAAGATGAGACAGCATGACAAAATGCCCCAATTCTCAGCATGGCAGTCAGAGTGGATTGATATTCAATGATATTCACTTTTTTTTTTTCACACATCTTGACATCTGATGTTTTTTGGAGTTTGAACCAACAAACCATGGGCGATTTATGGGGATTTCCCCCACAACTCCTGCGGCAGCCTGGAACGTCCTGGCTGGGACCTTCTCGCTGGTGTGGACCTCGGGATTTGGAGATCATCCTAGAGGATAGAGTGATGATATGATTCACTTTCATACTATAGATTTAATCTGTTTTAATATGATTTAAGATTATAAATTATATACTGTATATATAATATTATATATATATGACTATTATATGTAAGTAACTTATACTTATGCGATATAAACAACAACTTTGGCCATATTTTTTGTTGGTGCATTCATGAACATCGCCTCCTACCACCGTTGGGGATGTGAATAGCAGGGTCTGTGGTTCTGTCTGAAAATGGGGCACCCAAAATCCACGGGATCCACGTGTTAGTCATCATTGTCCCCATAAAAATTGCTTATTTGGGGGGTATTGGGGGGTATGCCTTGTTTTCAGACACATCTCACATAGGTGCCGAACATAAATTAAGTGATGCCCAAAAACAATTTTATGTGTTTTTTCAGGCTTTTCTCCTTTGAACAGTCCAGGAAAACAAATCCATTCACATCATTTTCACTGGATTGGTTTAAGGGAAATCTTCACCGGAAACCATGGGTTTGTCCCATCAAATAATATTTGGCCAAATAAGCTGGCTTGTTCTCTACCTGACCTTTTCAAGTTTGTACTCTTTTGCAGCTTGTTGAGTTCGATGTCTTCAGTGAGTTCTTGAATGGGAAAATATGCTTTTCAATCTTGCACTCTCTTTAAATTTGGTCAAGTTCCTGGTACCCTAACGCATTGTTTAGCAAGGAAATATTGCAAGCCCTTCATACATAGGGTGTGCCTCTAAAGTTCCCTTACCCTCTGGTAATTTAACATAGCTATGGAAAATCACCATTTTTAATGGGTAAATCCACTATAAATGGCCATTTTCAATAGCTATGTTAGTTTACCAGAGGGTAAACCAATCCAGTGGCATTTCGTATCACCCTGCCGGTCCCTGAGATTTGGTCCCTGGCGGAGATGTTGGTCTGTGTCGTTGCCCGGGCTCCCGGGATGTGGCAAAACATTGAAAAAAGATCATTTGATATCATCAACTTTACGGAAATTGCGTGGATCTTCCATAACAAGGTTAGATATAGTACATATATATATATGTATGTATAATACTGTATATATATATATATACATATTATCAGAAGCGAGTGAGTCCGTTCTTTATGTTGTCACCTGGCACTTTGCCAAAGCTCAGGCAGCCCTGGTCGCTGCTGTGAAGATGACTCGCATCTGTGGGATTATGCCAGGGGCCTCGATGGGACATGATGGGACAAAATGGAGGAGATTGTCTCAGCCACTATCATCCATTGAAATGCCATTGGGTTGGTCTGAAAATCGTGGTGCCCCCCAATTTTGATGGTTTATCGTTTATCAATGTTTATCATCAAGGTCCCCATTGAAGTTGGCAGAAGTCATATAATAAGTATTCATAAGAGAAGATAGTTGAGGTCAGTTCCCCTTTTTCAGCCGTACCACAGCTATGCTTTCGGCACCACAGCATCCATCGGCGGCAGGCTGGTGCCGATGGACAAGGAACGCGCGATGTTGGCAGGATCCTTGGCCCGCGCCGCCTTGGAATTGGGCCATCCAAAGGTGAGAACCTTTGGCATTGACCCACAAGAAGGTCCGGAGGGGAAGATGATGGAAGATTCCTGATGATCTTTCGAGGGATTCTGAACTGCATGTCAGCTTCGAACCATGGCAGTCGTTCATGTTTTTCCCAAAAGCATCTTCGATGCTTGGGTTCTCGTTTAGTTGTTTAACCGCGTGGGGGAGCGACCTGGCTCGAACGGTGGTGTGCGGACGGCGTGGGTGCAAGGGAAAGGAAGGGAAAGGATGGGAAAGGAAGGGAAAGGAAGGGAAAGGAAGGGAAAGGATGGGAAAGGAACGGAAAGGACGGCAAATGGGTGCGGAGAACTGCGCGGACGGCTGCGGACGGCGTGGGTGCAAGGGGGTGGCTGGAAATGGGTGGGGAGAAGAAGCCGCTGTGGTGATGAGCGACCTTGGCTGCGCGGACGGCTGCGGACGGCAAATGGGTGCGGAGAAGTGCGCGGATGGCTGCGGACGGCGTGGGTGCAACGGGGTGGCTGGAAATGGGTGGGGAGAAGAAGCCGCTGGTGATGAGCGACCTTGGCTGCGCGGACGGCTGCGGACGGCAAATGGGTGCGGAGAACTGCGCGGACGGCTGCGGACGGCGTGGGTGCAACGGAGTGGCTGGAAATGGGTGGGGAGAAGAAGCCGCTGGTGATGAGCGACCTTGGCTGCGCGGACGGCTGCGGACGGCAAATGGGTGCGGAGAACTGCGCGGACGGCTGCGGACGGCGTGGGTGCAAGGGGGTGGCTGGAAATGGGTGGGGAGAAGAAGCCGCTGGTGATGAGCGACCTTGGCTGCGCGGACGGCTGCGGACGGCAAATGGGTGCGGAGAACTGCGCGGACGGCTGCGGACGGCGTGGGTGCAACGGAGTGGCTGGAAATGGGTGGGGAGAAGAAGCCGCTGGTGATGAGCGACCTTGGCTGCGCGGACGGCTGCGGACTGCAAATGGGTGCGGAGAACTGCGCGGACGGCTGCGGACGGCGTGGGTGCAAGGGGGTGGCTGGAAATGGGTGGGGAGAAGAAGCCGCTGGTGATGAGCGACCTTGGCTGCGCGGACGGCTGCGGACGGCAAATGGGTGCGGAGAACTGCGCGGACGGCTGCGGACGGCGTGGGTGCAAGGGGGTGGCTGGAAATGGGTGGGGAGAAGAAGCCGCTGGTGATGAGCGACCTTGGCTGCGCGGACGGCTGCGGACGGCAAATGGGTGCGGAGAACTGCGCGGATGGCTGCGGACGGCGTGGGTGCAACGGGGTGGCTGGAAATGGGTGGGGAGAAGAAGCCGCTGGTGATGAGCGACTTGGCTGCGCGGACGGCTGCGGACGGCAAATGGGTGCGGAGAACTGCGTGGACGGCTGCGGACGGCGTGGGTGCAACGGAGTGGCTGGAAATGGGTGGGGAGAAGAAGCCGCTGGTGATGAGCGACCTTGGCTGCGCGGACGGCTGCGGACGGCAAATGGGTGCGGAGAACTGCGCGGACGGCTGCGGACGGCGTGGGTGCAAGGGGGTGGCTGGAAATGGGTGGGGAGAAGAAGCCGCTGGTGATGAGCGACCTTGGCTGCGCGGACGGCTGCGGACGGCAAATGGGTGCGGAGAACTGCGTGGACGGCTGCGGACGGCGTGGGTGCAACGGAGTGGCTGGAAATGGGTGGGGAGAAGAAGCCGCTGGTGATGAGCGACCTTGGCTGCGCGGACGGCTGCGGACGGCAAATGGGTGCGGAGAACTGCGTGGACGGCTGCGGACGGCGTGGTGTCAAGGGGTGGCTGAAATGGGTGGGGAGAAAGAGCCGCTGGTGATGTCGAAACTTGGCTGCGCGGACGGCTGCGGACGCAATGGGTGGGGCCTGGCCGGACGGAAAATGGGTGCGGGGAACGGCGCGGACGGCTGCGGACGGCGTGGGTGCAAGGGGGTGGCTGGAAATGGGTGGGGAGAAGAAGCCGCTGGTGATGAGCGACCTTGGCTGCGCGGACGGCTGCGGACGGCAAATGGGTGCGGAGAAATGCGCAGACGGCTGCGGACGGCGTGGGTGCAAGGGGGTGGCTGGAAATGGGTGGAAAGAAGAAGCCGCTGGTGATGAGCGACCTTGGCTGCGCGGACGGCTGCGGACGGCAAATGGGTGCGGAGAACTGCGTGGACGGCTGCGGACGGCGTGGGTGCAACGGAGTGTTTGGAAATGGGTGGGGAGAAGAAGCCGCTGGTGATGAGCGACCTTGGCTGCGCGGACGGGTTCGGACGGCAGCGGACGGCAAATGGGTGCGGAGAACTGCGCGGACGGCTGCGGACGGCGTGGGTGCAAGGGGGTGGCTGGAAATGGGTGGGGAGAAGAAGCCGCTGGAGATGAGCGACCTTGGCTGCGCGGACGGCTGCGGACGGCAAATGGGTGCGGAGAACTGCGCGGACGGCTGCGGACGGCGTGGGTGCAAGGGGGTGGCTGGAAATGGGTGGGGAGAAGAAGCCGCTGGTGATGAGCGGGCTTGGCTGCGCGGACGGCTGCGGATGGCAAATGGGTGCGGAGAACTGCGCGGACGGCTGCGGACGGCGTGGGTGCAAGGGCGTGGCTGGAAATGGGTGGAGAGAAGAAGCCGCTGGTGATGAGCGACCTTGGCTGCGCGGACGGCTGCGGACGGCAAATGGGTGCGGAGAACTGCGCGGACGGCTGCGGACGGCGTGGGTGCAAGGGGGTGGCTGGAAATTGGGAGAAGAGCCGCTGGTGATGAGCGAGCTTGGCTGCGCGGACGGGTGCGGACGGCAAATGGGTGCGGAGAACTGCGCGGATGGCTGCGGACGGCGTGGGTGCACAGAGTGGCTGGAAATGGGTGGGGAGAAGAAGCCGCTGGTGATGAGCGAGCTTGGCTGCGCGGACGGCTGCGGACGGCAAATGGGTGTGGAGAACTGCGCGGACGGCTGCGGACGGCGTGGGTGCAAGGGGGTGGCTGGATGGGTGGGGAGAAGAAGCCGCTGGTGATGAGCGAGCTTGGCTGCACGGACGGCTGCGGACGGCAAATGGGTGCGGAGAACTGCGTGGACGGCTGCGGACGGCGTGGGTGCAACGGAGTGGCTGGAAATGGGTGGGGAGAAGAAGCCGCTGGTGATGAGCGACCTTGGCTGCGCGGACGGCCGCGGACTGCAAATGGGTGCGGAGAACTGCGCGGACGGCTGCGGACGGCGTGGGTGCCAGGGAGTGGCTGGAAATGGGTGGGGAGAAGAAGCCGCTGCGTGATGAGCGAGCTTGGCTGCGCGGACGGCTGTGGACGGGAAATGGGTGCGGAGAATTGCGCGGACGGCTGCGGACGGCGTGGGTGCAAGGGAGTGGCTGGAAATGGGTGGGGAGAAGAAGCCGCTGATGAGCTCGGCTGCGCGGACAGCTACCGACGGGAAATGGGTGCGGAGAACTGCGCGAAAGGCTGCGGACGGCGTGGGTGCAACGGAGTGGCTGGAAATGGGTGGGGAGAAGAAGCCGCTGGTGATGAGCGAGCTTGGCTGCGCGGACGGCCGCGGACGGGCAATGAAGTGCGCGGACGGTTGCGGACGGCGTGGGTGGAAATGGGTAGGGAGAAGAAGCCGCTGATGATGAGCGAGCTTGGCTGCGCGGACGGCTGCGGAAGCAAATGGGTGGGGAGATTTGGGCGGACGGCTGCGGACGCCGTGGGTGCAAGGGAGTGGGTGGAAATGCATGGGGAGAAGAAGCCGCTGGAGATCAGCGAGCTTGGCCGTGCGGACGGCTGCGGACGGGAAATGGCTGCGGAGAATTGCGCGGACGGCTGCAGACAGCGTGGGTGCAACGGCGTGGCTGGAAATGGGTGGGGGAGAAGAAGCCGCTGGTGATGTGCGAGCTTAGCTGCGCGGACGGTTGCGGATGGGCAATGGGTGCGGAGAAGTGCGCGGACAGCTGCAGACGGCGTGGGTGCAAGGGAGTGGCTACAGAAATGGGTGAGGAGAAGAAGCCACTGGTGATGAGCGAGCTCGGCTGCGCGGACGGTTGCGGACGGGAAATGGGTTCGGAGAATTGTGTGCACGGCTGCGGACGGCGTGGGTGCAAGGGAGTGGCTGGAAATGGGTGGAGAGAAGAAGCCGCTGGTGATGAGCGAGCTTGGCTGCACGGACGGCTGCGGACGGCAAATGGGTGGGAAGAATGGCGTGGACGGCTGCGGACGGCGTGGGTGCAAGGGAGTGGCTGGAAATGGGTGGGCAGAAGAAGGCGCTGGAGATGAGCGAGCGTGGCTGCGCGAACGGCTGCGGACGGGAAATGGGTGGGGAGAATTTCGCGGACGGCTGCGGACGGCGTGGGTGCAAGGGAGTGGCTGGAAATAGTTGGGGAGAAGAAGCCGCTGGGGATGAGCGAGCGTGGCTGCGCGAACGGCTGCGGACGGGAAATGGGTGTGGAGAATTGCGCGGACGGCTGCGGACGGCGTGGGTGCAAGGGAGTGGGTGGAAATGGGTGGGGAGAAGAAGCCGCTGGGGATGAGCGAGCTTGGCTGTGCGGACGGCTGCGGACGGGAAATGGGTGGGGAGAATTGCGCGGACGGCTGCGGACGGCGTGGGTGCAAGGGAGTGGGTGGAAATGGGTGGGGAGAAGAACAAGATGCAGCCCACGAACCCGAATGCTCACACGTATGTTAATGGATATGCAGTCACTCAGAACAATTTTCTGCAATAGTTTATTTGAACAGTCTTGTATATACATATTTCCCCTGTTACCAGTCTGCAGTGTGGAGTGGACAGTGTAGAGTGTGGAGTGTAGAGTGTAAAGTGTAGAGCGCGGAGTGTGGAGTGTAAAGTGTGGAGTGTAAAGTGTAGAGTGTGGAGTGTAAAGTGGGAAGTGGGAAGTGTGGAGTGTAAAGTGTGGAGTGAGGAGTGTGGAGTGTAAAGTGTGGAGTGTGCAGTGGGTAAAGTGTGGAGTGTGGAGTGTAGAGTGTGGAGTGTGAAGTGTAGACTTTGGAGCGTGGAGCGTAAAAGTGTGGAGTGTAAAGTGTGGAGTGTAAAGTGTGGAGTGTAAAGCGTGGAGAGGAAAGCGTGGAGTGTAAAGTGTGGA